GCAGAACGTTTTTTTAAGAATTTTCAAAGTTTATATTATTTTGTTTAAGGTTTTTTTTTTGAGGTAGCGGTTTGTTTTTTCACACAACTAAAGTATCTTAGATCTGGTTGTAAAGAACTTTGATTATCTAAAAAGCTGATTGAGTGAATTAACAAGTGAATCCAAACAATTTGTAGATTTGCTTTACCGTCAGAGTGTAAATGAGAGAATGTGCAAAAAAACAAATTTTCTAATTTTTTATATAGACTGGTTTCAGTGTGAGCATACATCAGTCTGAAGAAAAAATTTGGATGCTCTAGCTCTTATAGTCTCTGAGAACTAGCGGACAAACAAGACGGACAGGTTGTATGTAACCCATAGAAGGAACCGCCTCCTCTTGATCAGCATCAATAGCCGAGTCGATTGAGCCTTGTCTGTCTGTCCATGAAGAAACTATATAAGGAGGTCTCGTTGGCAAAAATAAGATGAACGTGCGAGTGAAAAGTGCGAGTAAGTGTGAGGGCAACGACAATGGAGTGTGCTGATTAACCATTTGAAGGCAATGTGAAAAAAAAACATAATAATTGTTTCATAATTTAATTTTTAAAAGTTTGCTGTCTGTGTTTTGTCTGTGTTTTGAAAATATAAACATGTTGAAAAAATTTGAAAAAAAATTGTATCCGCAACCAACCTTTCGCGTCGACAAGCAAAAGAGCACTGAGAATTGGGAAAAGCAGCGAGTAACTCTGCCACCGACGAGACCTCCTTATATAGTTGCTTTATGCTCGCGACTTGGTGTCTTAGGTGGCGGAGGTGTACATACATATGTGTCTGGCTCTAGCTCAAGGTAAAATTAAATGTAGCAGGAAAAAGAATAAAGGTATGCATGTAGGAAATGAAGGAAAGAGAGAGACACGAAGCGGTCGTAGTTTTTTCGTGTCGTCGTCTGCAAAGAGCGGTCATCGGCTCTGAGAGAGCCGACAGCGAGAAGGAGAGATCAGTCGAACTCGCCAGTCTTACTCAAGCAGGCACGCATCAAATTGTAAACGCGCATACTTAAGAATGCCCTAATGTAACAAATGTAAACTTGGAGCTAATTTAAGAAATATAAGTTCAGCATTACTTAATAAATGTTCACATTGAAATCAAGCAATTATAAAACAACCACATCCATGCGTGTATGGGCTTCCTGTGTATGCGCCTCAGCGCCACGCTTGATTATGCGTTTGCATGCACATAAAACCAAAAGTCAAACACGGGACAAACCTCAACCCCTCCTGATAACCAATGGCAGGCATATTTACAGGAAAAGCCATGACGGCTTTTGGGTGCTGATAGCATGTGTTCCGGGCTCCCCAACGCAAAATCTAGGTGTACCTTTTTAGCCTTTATGCGAACATTCAGAGGGTTATTGTGCAAGAAAATGTAAGTCCCGTGTGTACGCCATTTATAAATAATCGAACTGATATATGTATGTACATACATACTTATGTATGTACATGTGTAGGTAATGCGTAATTGCTAAATTTTGCCATTTCCACATTGATATTGAAATATCAAAGTACGATGATTGAATGAGTGCTTTTTGAAGTACGATTGTTATTTTGTCGAGCTCCAGGATTTCCACACAAAATATCCGCGCAAAGCCTGCAAGTCGAGGCAGAGTGGCTTCACGAACGGAGTTGCCGGACAGCAGAGGATCGAGTGTGAGGCTACCATATGGTGAACCGGTTAAAAGCTGCGCGGAGATTTCAAAAGTCTAAGTCAATAGCCCATAGCGGCAGGGATGGAGGAGGAGGGAAAGTTGGCTTTCGAGCGCAAGACGAGAGTTCCCCACCGCTGTGGTAGACGCCCAGGGGCACCTTGATGATAGAGCATGCGATGGAAAAGGATCTCACTTATTCCTCGAGACTGGTTCCTCGCAAAAGGAGGCAGAAAGCCGAATGATGAATTGAATTTACAGCTGACAAACCCACCATGTCCAGAAGTTTTTTTTTTTTTTTTTTGCACATTCTCACTCTAATTCGTCTGGTGTGGAAAGCGAGCTAAAAGAGCCTGTTGGCGTGAGAAGTGATGATGTAGATGACACATGTGGAAAAAATTTAAAATATGAAAAAATCCACTAAGGTTACCTAAGACTGAGTACACACGTTCCTCGTCTTTTATGATTAGACTGTTATCAGTCCCTTTTATCATATGCATGTACATACAAACGCTATGTAGCACGCTCTGTTAGCTCGCCCCGCTCCATGCACTGCAAATTAATTTCTTCATTCTGGCTATAATATTGATCCATACAGCAGGTTTTATCCCCTTTTTTTAAAGACACGTGTATCAGTGTGATATCACAGCAGTCCGGAGGCAAAATTTGGTGGCTCTAGCTCTTATGGTCTCTTAGAACTAGCCGACAAACATGTTGGAAAGATGGACGGACAGACTGACAGACGGACAGAAAGACATATTATATTATATTGACTCGGCTACTATTCAGATAATTTACAGATTTAACACATCATTTCGGCTATGAGAATTAAAAAGAAGAATGCGAAAGCACCGAATCACATTGAGCCTGAATTGAAGCCATAATACTATTAAAGTAAATTGACTTCATCCCCGCCGTATACCACAGGACTCTTTACCACCCTCTCCGTCCATCCCCTTCGCATCATAATAAATATATATTCTAACCAACGAAAGAGAAATAGCAGTACCGGGAGCCAGAACCAGCGACATCCGAGAGCTACCAGGGAAGACCACGCCGCNCCTTGATGATAGAGCATGCGATGGAAAAGGATCTCACTTATTCCTCGAGACTGGTTCCTCGCAAAAGGAGGCAGAAAGCCGAATGATGAATTGAATTTACAGCTGACAAACCCACCATGTCCAGAAGTTTTTTTTTTTTTTTTTTGCACATTCTCACTCTAATTCGTCTGGTGTGGAAAGCGAGCTAAAAGAGCCTGTTGGCGTGAGAAGTGATGATGTAGATGACACATGTGGAAAAAATTTAAAATATGAAAAAATCCACTAAGGTTACCTAAGACTGAGTACACACGTTCCTCGTCTTTTATGATTAGACTGTTATCAGTCCCTTTTATCATATGCATGTACATACAAACGCTATGTAGCACGCTCTGTTAGCTCGCCCCGCTCCATGCACTGCAAATTAATTTCTTCATTCTGGCTATAATATTGATCCATACAGCAGGTTTTATCCCCTTTTTTTAAAGACACGTGTATCAGTGTGATATCACAGCAGTCCGGAGGCAAAATTTGGTGGCTCTAGCTCTTATGGTCTCTTAGAACTAGCCGACAAACATGTTGGAAAGATGGACGGACAGACTGACAGACGGACAGAAAGACATATTATATTATATTGACTCGGCTACTATTCAGATAATTTACAGATTTAACACATCATTTCGGCTATGAGAATTAAAAAGAAGAATGCGAAAGCACCGAATCACATTGAGCCTGAATTGAAGCCATAATACTATTAAAGTAAATTGACTTCATCCCCGCCGTATACCACAGGACTCTTTACCACCCTCTCCGTCCATCCCCTTCGCATCATAATAAATATATATTCTAACCAACGAAAGAGAAATAGCAGTACCGGGAGCCAGAACCAGCGACATCCGAGAGCTACCAGGGAAGACCACGCCGCCAAAGTTAAAGTCAGGGGGAATGGTTTGTACAGAGGAAAATGAAGTAGGTAAAGAGGAGGCGTTGCCACAGCTGAGACTGTGCTTCTTGTTGTTTTCCAATGGGTTGGTGGTGAAGATGAAGATGGTAGAAGATGGTCGCCCAGAAGCTAGGATGTCTGCCAAGTTTAGTCTGCCCAAGGTCTGGTCCTACGTTATGTGCTGTTAATGACTGAGAAGAAGTCTGTGAAAGAACTGTGGGTCTCGCTAGGCAGGGTCTGGACTTTGGAGTCTGTCAAGAGAAGTGGAGTTAAACGTCGCTGGGGAGAGGAATATGCGTGGGCATGTGGTAATGCTGCGCACACGGATATTGACAAATTGCCATTTAAATAGACAGAATGAAGATAAATGCAACTACACACGCGCATTATGAATGGGAGGAGTATAATTTGATACTAAGCAGTGGGCCTTCAAAAACACGTTTAGCACTGTGCTTGGTGAGGGGTGGACAGCGGAGGCATTGGACTAAGATCCTAGATATGAGCATTAATTAGAAAAAAGATATTGTGTTAAGGGTACATAAAAATGAAATGAAACATATGGGAATATGTGGATGCATATGTAGGTGCCTGCTTAGAGAACTAATGACGGAAACCCTCCTACTCTATTCACTAGATCCAAATGGATGATCACTTAAATGTAACTAATAAACTGACTGCCTACTGACAATAAATGTTTGTCGATCAATTTAATCAATTCTATCTTTTAATTGAAACTTCTGAAACTACCTCTGTTCTCATTATTAAATAGTTGAAATTTATTATTTTTTGGATCCAATCATATTTTTTAATGTCGCATCTCCTACCAGCTCTAGATTCCTCTCCTAAACCCTGCTTGTACATGATGTTATAATTCCCAATTTAACACATTGAGATATTTTACGGACAACTCCAGTCAACACAATAAGTAGTTTCTTTCTTCCCCACTGGCCTGAGTAGATTTTTTTTGTGGGTAGCAAATTTTGATGGAAACAGTTATGCACACACCCATCCCAATTTAAATATGGTGCTAAAAAGTTGTACACATGTGCGGAGCATAAGTATTAATTAACAGCGTTCCGAGTAATTGGTAGTGAGGTACAAAAAACATACAAACATAGCTCCATATATGTATGTACATATGTATGTAGCTATGCATAGAGCATGGCTAATATTCCCACTAGTACAAAAAACATACAAACATAGCTCCATATATGTATGTACATATGTATGTAGCTATGCATAGAGCATGGCTAATATTCCCACTAGTTTCCAGGTCTGTCTTTATTTGCCAGCGCAGCTATGAACTCAATCAAATATTAGGACTATATACATCTTCAGCTGGTGTGACTTCGTTTGAAGTTGTTTATATTATTGTGGACAAACTCTGTCGCTTGATCCAGCAGAGAATATTAACCCAAATCAACCCGCAAACGCCCATATAGATGACACGAAAGCGCGGAGCGACCAGTGAAAAATTCAGAACCTGAGCAGGCAGCCAGAAAATGCAAGAACGTACAAAAGTCGGCAGGAACTTCTCTCGCAATTCCAGAAGAATATCCTCAGAGCCCTCCATGATGGACATGCCTGAAAGATACATTAATTAAAGTTAATAATAGGTCTATTGAAAACTATTAAAAATGCACTAATATTGGGTGCACTACCGTACCACACGTTGGCTGCCCCTTTGGAAAATTATGCTTACCCGCATAGAAAACTGTCAAGAGATAAGGCGTCAGTATAAATTGATCCAGTACCAATTTTCTAAAAATTATGGCCTTGGTGGTACCAGGAAAGGTTTTATCTAACCATTTATACCTAAAACGAGGGTTTAAAATTACATTTTATTTAAATAATTACCATTTTAAGGGATTGTACAATTTTTCAGAAGAACCAATTTGCTAAACGTGCGTGCATGTGCAGAGTGTTAATAACATTGTCATATGTAATTGAATATGTTCATATGTATGTGTGTATGGATGCATCTCTGTTTATATGAATATACCATATGCAATAAATTGTGTTCTGTTTTAGTGTTTTTTTGTGGATTCACCTGATTTTCCATATGTACATATGTACATACAATTATTACAAGTCGGATAGCTGCACTGGAAACGAGTAAACAAGAAAAACGAGACACAAAAAACGTACTTATTAATTGTAGTGCTTGCGCTGAGACGCCTCATCAACTGAGAAGAGTTCTAGAGCAAACCAATTGATTCCAGAGCTACATGGCACAGAAGGCAAAAGGTGGGCAGAAAATCAAAAGACATTTCGATCATTGTATACTGTGGACTGTACTACATATGTATATAATAAATTTAACATTTATTTGAGTTATCTTTAATGGTATATTAAAAGAGACAAAATATGTAGTATATACATTTTTTCCTTCATGTAGTCAAATTTACGTTTATTTAAACTCTTATTATTAATTCGCCTATTTTTCATTCCTTAACGGGTCGCTCTTCTTTCTCTCAAATACTTTCTAGTGAGAAGGCGTTTTGAAAGTGTTTCTGAGAGAGTAGAGTCTGTCTGGCTTAAGAGAGACGAGAAGGAACATGTGAGACGCTTCTTACGCGTCACAACTTTTATACCCGGCACTCAGGACTACATCTAGATGTAGAAGACATCGCCAACCACTAGATATCGTTCACATTACAGAACACGTAGTAAAAGCATACTAAATAAAATGCATCAAACAAATTGGATCAGTTAATATTTTCCAATTTATGAGATATTTAAAACAGCAATAAAATTGGTACATTCTTGGACCGATAGGTTTCACAGCAAATTTTTAGAAAGTGGCGCCATCTATGAAAATTTCTTGTACGCTACTTTGATGGTCCAATGGTCTGCACATTCTGTGCAATAATGACCGATAGGTTTCACAGCAAATTTTTCGAAAGTGGCGCCATCTAGCGTTAAAAACCAAGTCTTGGTTAAAAGTCGGAAGAGTCAACGCCAGGGGGAGGGCAGAGGCAGGGGCCGAGTGAAGCAGAAGCAGAGTGTGAATGAGAGAAAGTAAAAAGAGCAACAAAAGCTGCGGGACAGGGTGGGTTTAGCCACTGGAAATTAATTTCTCCATTGTGGCTATAATAAGATCCGATCGGATCCCAATTTGGTGATCTGATAGATATGGCCATTTCCTAGGGAATTGCGTTTTTCTTAGTTTAGTTTTCTTTTATCTTCAAAACTGTAGATTTGGGAGGTTTTCGCCCTTTTGCGGGGGCGTGGCTCATTTTTGAAATACGCTGGTTTCAGTGTGAGCATATAGCAGTCTGGATGCAAAATTTGGTGGCTCTAGCTCTTATAGTCTCTGAGAACTAGCCGACAAACAAGACGGACAGACGGACAGACGGACAGACGGACAGACAGACATGGCTCTATCGACTCGGCTATTGATGCTGATCAAGAATATATATACTTTATGGGGTCGGAAACGCTTCCTTCTGTGCGTTACATACAACCGTTATTCGCACAAATACAATATACCCTATTTACTCTTTGAGTACCGGGTATAAAAACAAAAAACACCAGGGATGGATTTGATCTTAAGGTTCTTTTAGACGATGAGTCTGAATATAGCTTTAAATAGCTAAATATACCTAAATACCCGTAATATACCAATATGTTCGCTCGTGCAATTCAAATTGAAATCCATTATTTAACATAAAAAATTTATGTACAAAATATTTTCGTTCAGAAGCGAATGAAAATATGAAACATAACTTATGCATATAATGTGTATTATTAATATTATTGCTTGTGCTCTGGTGCTGGATGGGTGGTGCTCTAAAGAGAGGCAGAGCATAGACGAACGTGATGCAAAGCTTTCCAAATAGTAAGTAAATTAATAAAGTCCCGAACAAATGGGACAGTATGCACATGTAAATATGATATGATAAAACGACGTGGGGGTTGTTATGTACACACGTATTCTAATTCAGATGCTGTTGGAAACAAACCAAGCATATAATGTTGGGGCATAGACAGCGGTACCCATCACTGCGTATCTTCCTATAGTTACATAATCGATTTCCTCACGCTCTGCCGCAGGCTACAAGACACATAAATCTAATTAGAAATTCCAATCCGTTCCCCAATACCGCCCGCGACACAATTGCTTACCGCCAGCCAGCGTTTGGACAGAATCTGCTGCGAGAACTCGGCCCCCACATACAAGCTTCCGTAGATGGCACTGTTGGTCACAAATGGGTAGCGACGCAAGATTCCACGAGCTCCAGTAATCAAGCGAGCCATCGTCAGTAAATTTCAGCGACCAGCCGAGAGCGTACTTGAAGCTCAACTGTTTCAAAAGACAGTTGGCGAGCAAGAGAGCGAACAGAGAGCGTGCTAGAAAGCATTGAGAGCAGGAAATTCAATAAAAAAGTTATTTGAGTCAAAAACACAAGTACATACATATATGGCGCTCGTTGATTCGGAAAAGCTTGACAATGCAGTTAATTTTAGTGGATAACCTAACTGTGAAAGCTATTTATCTCATAATATAGATAAGATTATAAATATGAATAGATACTAAATAGCAATTTCAATAATAAGTGCAAGCTAGCGTATTTGTAAATTCATACATATGTATGTACATATGTACATATGAAAATAACTCATTTATTATTTAAATAAATAAATTGTATGTCATCTTATCGTATTCTTATGACGAAATGGGTATCCGAGCTTCGCATCTAGAATAATCGAATACATTTGTACATTCGGGGCGCACTGGACTTTTCAATTCGTTTTCAGAACATTCGACATTATTGTGAATATAGTAAGTTTATATCATTAAGATAATCTACGCACGACTAACAATCGCACTGCACGGTGGAAGTGGGAAGAGATGGAGAGCATGGACTACCAAACATTTGCGATGCGTACAAGAAGGAGCCTCAGAAACGTCAACTTTGATTGTGTGTTAAAACTGAAACCAATTTAAAAGTTGTGCTGAACCATATGGAAAGTGAGCTGAAGGGGAAAACCCTTACTGTTTGTGTGTGTTGGCCCAAGTAGGCTCAGGCATCACATGTTGACAAACCAGATACAGTCAACATACACGCACGGACATATACCAAAGTCACACAAAGTTAGGTGGCAAAACGACGTACCCAGGATGAATCTGAGTGCCATAGTCAGGAGTCTGCGCAAAAGCTTAGGGCTCGACCCCTCGAGTGCCTCGAAGCAGCAGCCAGCCAAGTCTGAGCAATGTCGAAACTCTACTTCCGCGTGCAGTTCCATATCCCCCTCGAATTTCCCCAGCGAGGACGAACTCGAAAACACTTTTGGGGAAGATCGCCTGCTCCTTTCAGTTTCCCAGCTCAATCAGCGCCGTCATCCCTTCAAAAAGATAATCGAGCAGATCCTCTATCAGGTCAGTGAGCTGCAGCACACGTTCTACGAGGATCGGCAGCAGGAATTCAAGCTGCGCATGGCCCTGCAGCGACAATCAGACAGAATACAGGAGCTCCACTTCTCCCTGGACACAGAGAAGCAGCGCAATAGCCGACTGGTGCAGCTGCTCCGCGGCATGGAAACCTCGGGCGAGAGCGAAACGGAGGAGAGGATGCCAAGTGGATCCCATATGAAGTCCATTGGAGATCAATATGAGTCTATTAGTCCACTGCTCATGCAACAACGGTATGTTAAGCCTGAATACATGCACTATCCCAAGTGATCGTTGTGTCCCACAGCTATGATGAGCTTTCTGTTTCTCATCGCCAGAGTCGCCGACAGCTGGCCAGAAAGGAAAAGGCCCATAGACTTCTTAAATGCGAGACGGAGCTACTTCAAGCCAAATACGACCATCTCTTCAATGAGTACCGTAACGAGCAGCGACGCGTCGAGACGCTCTGTTCCCGTTTCCTGCAAATTCACTCAATAAAAAAGAAGCAGATTCACAATCTGAAGAAATCATTGGGCTATGCCAGCGACTGCATCTACCATGCCCAAGTGGCTATCGAGGATTTTTACGAGCAGAAAGGTTCGCGTATCGCTATTGAACCCTTTCATAACTTTCAAAATACTCTGGACAACTTTGTGGACTCATTTCGGAGCTGTGACTTTGAGCGAGAAAAAGATAAAGAACAGGAGTTGCCCCTCGAACCTTAACTCACCGTCATTCTCAAACCGAAAATATAGCGTATCCTAAAGCCTTGAAATTGTTGTTAGGCGTTATCCCCTTGGTTTTAGGTTAATTGTGATAAAACATTCTTGAATTCTCCTTTTGGAGATTTAAAAAATATTGTCGAAATTGCGACTTCTTTCCATAGTCTAAAGATCTACCCAACGACTTCTATTTAACGAGAAGGGACGTTTTACGCGTCGCAACATGTGCTACATTTGTTCGCCACAAATACAATAAACTCTATTCACTCTTCGAGTACCGGGAAATAAAAAAAACATTGAGGAGCATTGTCATTCACAATTTTGTAGTATCGAAAATAACGAAAATTTTGCAGCTAAATGACTTTTTCCAGATCATCATACCCATTATGATCATGGTTTTAAAAACCATTTGAAATCAACAATTTTAACAATTCGGTATTATATATATGGTAATTTTCTCCAGTTTGAATATAACCTTGTTATAACCAGATTTATATAACCTTTTTAACATACAATTCCAGGACCCCTAGAAGCATCTTTCAGTCACCAACGATCGGATACTATCGTCGAAAAGAAACTTACAACACCGATTTAATTCGAGCCGAAAGCATCCGAAGGGAAATCTTACAATAAAAACAAAAATGTCGCAAAATAGGCCCAAGACTGCCAAAACTGGCAGAGTGACAGAAAACAAATGGGAGGAACAGACACAGGAGTCTCTGGGAAGTGGAGACGTTTTGACGGAGGACAACACCAATGCGTCTCCCAATGCGTCAATTATCGTTGAACAAGCTGATTCAGCTGGCGGATGTGCAATACACGATGAGATAAGACCAGCAAAGGACGTGACTATTTTTAATGCCTACAATATGGGGCCTGCTTTTGGCAACAAGTTTCCTTGTCCATACATACGCTACATACTGCAACGAGTGCTTACGGAGAGACTGACTAATAAAACCTATGCTGCTGCAGATGCTGTCAAGTGGACCCGCGAAATAGCCGACGATATCAATATGAAGATGAAGAGACAGGGCCAGTACACACGTTACAAGCACGTGGTCAACGTAATGCTCTATCAGCAGAATGGTGGTGGCTGTTTCTATGGGGCTCGTGCTCTATGGGATCTACTCTCAGATGATTATGTTACCCAAGTCTTTGACGGTGGTAACTTTGTTTGTATTGCGAGCGTGTTTGGTTGTTATACATATTAATTTAGGCACAGATGCAATAAACATTAAGAAGTAACGTACATAAGCTTTAAAATTTTTCAAATGTTAAGCGTGGACACGCAACGCAAGGCACAAAAAATGTGCGCCCAGAATGTCGTAGTAAAGGCTGACAAGACCAATTGTGCTAACCGGTTTTCAAAGCGTAAATTGGGGGACAATTTTCTCAGAAATGGTCATGAAAATATAGATTTTTCGAGGAGCATATAAATAGCATCAAATAAAACTGAAGGTACATGTTAATGTTTAGTGTCGATGGTAATTAAAAGCATCTTGATTTTCCCTTTCTGGCATCAAAACCCACTTTTTAGTATTTTTTATTACTGTTTTTGTGTTAATGATTTGTTTAGAGGTTTGATTTAACTTGTATCTTAGATTTGGTTGTAAAGAACACTGACATTCTGAAAAGCTATTTGATGCAGCTAAAAATTGCTAAAATGAAAATGGTCAACAAATTTTAACTCAGCCGACTCTCCACATAAACAATACCTTAAAAAACGACAAATTAATGACCCTGTATACAATTCCAGAGTTTTTAAATTCAAAATTTCGTAAAAACTACCATAAAAAAAATCGTTTTTCATTTAAAAGCTTCAAAATACGGTAAGCTAAACCCCCAAATTGTTTGGGTCTATACCCATGCATCTATATGCATTAAAAAAGTTATTTAAAATCAGATGTAAGGCACTTCAGAAATGTGAAAAAAAGAGCTACCTTTAAAAAGAGCCTTCCAAAAAAATCCAGGTACTACAAATTCTTTCAAAAAAGTTCTGCCATAAAAAAAGAAAAACGCGTGGCGCTTCTTACGCGTTACAAGTTTTATAACCAGTACTCAGTCAGAGTATCTGAACCTTAGTGGTTTTTTTTTCGAATTTTATATTTAACATATGTTCTACATCTGTCATATATGTTACATCTACATCACTTCTCCCGTCACCCTCCCCCAGTGACTGCAATGATCAAATCTAATCCCAATGCGGGGATCTGATAAATTCATATGTGATAATGTGATAATACATATATATTAAGTCCCTAAGGTTTTTTTAGTTTTATCTTAACCTCAAAATAGTGGACATGAGAGATTTTCGACCCTTTGTGGGAGCGGAAAGAGGCACGGCGAAATTTTAAAATATACTTGTATCTGTGCGAAATCACATGAGTCTTCACACATAATTTGGTGACTCTACTAGCTCTTATAGTCTCTGATTTACAATCTCCCACAGCCACAATTGTAAAGAAAAGAGAAAAGCAAATACAATTCCTAACAGATCCAATCCATTCTTATAGCCAGAATGACGAAATTTCATTTGCAGCTGCCCATTCGGCAGCTTTGTTTATTTATTTATTTATTTATTTTTTTATACCCGGTACTCGAAGAGTAAATAGGGTATATTGTATTTGTGCACAAAGTGAATGTATGTAACACACAGAAGGAAACGTTTCCGACCCCATAAAGTATATATATTCTTGATCAGCATCAATAGCCGAGTCAATAGAGCCATGTCTGTCTGTCCGTCCGTCTTGTTGAGCGCCTGGATCTTAGAGACCATAAAAGCTAGAGCCACCAAAATTTGCATCCAGACTTCGGAATGCTCACACTATTACAAGTGCACAAGTGTTACAAGTGTTAAGGTTAGGGTTAAGGTTAGGGCGAAAACCTCCCAAACCTACAATTTTGAAGATAAAAGAAAACCGCCATTGCGTAGGGAATGGCCATATCTATCAGATCACTAAATTGGGATCCGATTGGATCATTATTATAGCCAGAATGAAAAAATTAATTCGCAGTGGCTAAACCCACCCTGTCCCGCAGCTTTTGTTGTTCTTTTCACATTCTCTCATTCACACTCTGCTTCTGCTTCACGCGGCCCCTTATATTTGTTTTTTTTTGTGCGGGCGCTGCGAGCTAACGGAGCGTGTTGGTGTGAGATGTGTTGTAGATGTAGATGACAGATGAAGAAAATATTTAAAATTTCACAAAACACCGCTAAGGTGCAGATGTAGTACTGAGTGCCGGGTATAAAAGTTGTGACGCGTAAGAATCGTCTCACACGTCCCTTCTCGTTGGTATTTAATCGCTGCCGCGAAATTGGAATTACGATGAGCCCGCATTGACCAGGTACTTCAGTTCGATAATGGGTGATTATTTTTTGCTCATTCTCTCATTTCCCACTCTGCTCCGCGAAGGTTGATTTCTTATCGGTTGCAGGGAAATATCATCCCTGATTCGGATTCGAAAAATTGGCGCACTGTGGACGCCTTTTCCAGCACTTTTGATTATTTGAAAAATTTGTATTGGCTGTGTGTTGAAAACGTCGGAAAAAGTATTAAAAGTATTTATTTTTGAGTATTTATTTGAAAGTCCTTGCCGGGAAATACGTACGTAGACAATACCACTAACCAAATAGTATAGTGTCCGTGTGAATCAAGACAGAACCGGTTTGGAGCGTTAAAAAATCATTGGCTACACGCACTTATGCAAATGTAGCTGGGACTTCTAGCTGCGTGTTCTACACGCACTAATACTTGTAGCTGCGACGTTGGCAGAGGCCTGGGACTTCGCGACGCACATTCTGCGGTGACGTTTCGCTTCCTTTAAATTGACAATCTACTACTATACTATTTGGTTAGTGGTCTGCGGCAGCCCGCGCTGAGCAAGAAGAGCGCACAGATGGCGTTGGTGTTTCTCTTACTGTCATGTGTGTCTGGGCTGCCCCTGTCTATGAAAAACCCGCTCCCTATCTCGATTCATCCCACCGATACCGCCGGACCCGTCGATGGCCAGTGGACAGTGGCAAGTTCAACGCCCGCGGCCTCAAACACCGTAGCAAGAAAATGCATACATACATATGTATATGTATACAAGTTTTGCCATGTACGCATAACGTTCCTCATCGACTTTTTGGTATATTTATGGTATTTTTTGACATTTAAATCTATGTTTTGAAATATTTCAGTACGACAGCGGTTCGGTAACACTGGTCACGTGCGCACGCACATGTTTGTTTTCATTTTCGATTTAAGGCCTAAATAATTGCTAACATGAAGGTCAAAATGATGAGTCGCAACCCGGACAACTATATACGGGAAACAAAGCTGCAGCAGCACAAGCGTAAGTACACAACTAGTATCAGCAGGGGCCTTAATAAGTTCTTCCGGAAACTAGTACCCCGCAACTATGATCCATCACTGCATCCACTGGAGGGTCCCAGGGAATATGTGCGTGCACTAAATGCCACCAAACTGGATCGCGTGTTTGCCAAACCTTTCGTCTGCAATTTAAGTGGACATCGCGATGGCGTTTCCTGCTTTGGAAAACATCCCAAGCTGCTGTCCGCACTAGCTACCGGAGCCTACGACGGCGAGGTCCGTATCTGGGACTTGGCGAATCGCTTAAGTGCACGGAGCTTTATCGCCCACAATGGATTTGTACGAGGAATCGCATATGCGAAAAATGGAGAACGTATCTTCACCGTCGGTGATGACAAAACCATCAAGGTTTGGAACTCATTGGCACCGGAGGTAGGCGAGGAAGAAGAGCCGGTCAACACAGTACAATGTCGATATGGTCTGCATGGCATTTCACACAACCGCAAGGACAACAGCTTTGCGACGTGTGGGGAGGTGTGCGCCATTTGGGATGAGCAGCACAATGATCCCCTGAAGACGCTTAAATGGGGAGTGGACACTCTGCACACGATTTCGTACAATCCCGTGGAAACCAATGTGCTAGCCTGCTGTGCGAGTGATCGTAGCATCATTCTGTACGATCAACGTGAGGCTCAACCGCTGCGCAGGGTGTTATTAACCATGAAGAGCAACAAGTTGGCCTGGAACCCCATGGAGGCGTTCAACTTTACAGTGGCCAACGAAGACTGCAAGTAAGTCGTGGGAGGGGGACATGCCGATTAGGGAGTCGTATAGACTTAATAACTTGTTCCTTTGCAGTCTCTATACCTTCGACACGCGTAAACTTCAAACTCCTCTAAAGGTGCACTTCGATCACGTTTCCGCTGTAACCGATGTGGATTATGCACCCACAGGGAGAGAATTTGTCTCGGCCAGCTATGACAAGACAATACGTATCTATCATGCCCATCAGAGTCATTCCCGTGACATATATCATACCAAGCGCATGCAACATGTGGTCTGTGTAGCCTGGTCGTTGGATAATCGATATATATTCTCTGGCTCCGATGAAATGAACGTGCGCATGTGGAAATCTAACGCATCGGAGAAGTTGGGAATCATTCGCCCAAGAGAGCGTTCCAATTTCAACTATCAGGAGGCCCTCAAGGAGAAGTATGCTGCACATCCGCAAATCAAACGAATTGCACGCCATCGTCAGGTACCGCGGCATGTTCTCAATGCCCAGAGAAAGATGCGAGCAGTCAAGGAGAAGGACCAAGTGAAAGAGGCGAATGTGCGAAAACACTCTAAGCCTGGGAAAGTACCCTACGTCAGCGAGAAGAAGAAGCATGTACTGAAGGAAGAAGTCTAAACACATTTATAAACCATGTAGTTAATAATGAAAAGAAAGAGACGAATAACGAAATATGTTTTGGAAACGATAAGCTCAAGCGGGCGATAACGATAACAGCTGGGGGAAACGTGTCCAAATCTGGAACATTTTTTTTATAAAAGGTGGACAGCCCTGACAGTGGGAGCTCATTGTTACGGTGCCAGTCGTTAAGTTTTTGTTTTCGTTGTTGATTTGTTTATACTCGCGTAGACTCGCCTCATTCGTTTACGTTTGGCACATAAAACCCAGTTAAACATGGAAGCACTGGGCGATCTTTTGGCTCCCCACAGCGAGCACATTGCCAAGGTAGCCGGCACAATTACTACCCTGCAATTTCTATCCGGTATAGCGGTGCTTAACGACATCCGTAAGAAGGGCAGCAGTGATGTTTATCCAGTCGGACCGTTTTTAGGCGGCGTGGTACTGTAAGTACTTTCCCTGCACTGCACGCACTGCCATCGAGGAGTGCGTCTGTGTATGCATTGATTATATTTTATGAATTGTCGCCATGACACTGCAAAATCGGTTCTCTCTAGGACGGAACTAAAATCGCTTTACTTTGTACTCAATAAGACAACAATTGGCGATTACATCACACGAAAATGAAAGCGGAACAACTCTTCGATCATCTCAGTCATAAGCGTCATAAGTCATAAGTCATATGAGTAGCCTATTACAATTTCAAATAACTGCTTTTGACCTTGTCATACAATAATCTGCCATTGCTTATCAATGGCAAGACCCAGCCAACACGTAGCTCTTATCTAATGTAGGTATAATTGTAAAATTCTGACTTAGTATGCCGATCTGCCAGTCTGCTCAATGGAGGATAGTCGGACGTAGCTAACCGCTTATGAGACAAGCCCCGACACGCCCTCCCCACGTGCACGGAATGAGAAATCAGAAATCACATTTTCTGTGCTCTGTGGTGTTGGTAGAAGGTAGCCGCAAACCATGCAACAGTTGGGTAAATTCAGCTGGACTGTTGCAAATGTATCTATCGGCAAGGTAAATGTTGCTTTAAGACCGGTTTCATACAATTTTATACATATATATATTTATAATACACTCGAAATTATTTCACCACCGTGGAGGCATTTGTGATATGCTAATGCTGATTATTTTTGTAGCCAACTTTTATCAGAAGAGACTGATAATTTTTAATAAAACAAAAAATATCTAGACATGATATTTTGATAGATTGTTTTCCTCAGTAAAATGCATTCAAAGATCTATATGTAAATCTCCGGCTAGTCGTAGACGGACCAAAATCACATAATCTGGCTCGAATCGGATCATTTTTATAGCATAACAGAAGAAATGAATTTGTATGTATAAAACAGCCCAGCAGCTTTTTAGTGTGCGGCTCTAGGGGAGGGGGCGAGCTAAAAGAGTGTGTTGGCGTGTAGAGGTTAAAATGATTTGAAATGTAAAATTGAAAAAAAAAACCCGTTAAGGTACAGATGTTCTACTGAGTACCGGGTATACAAGTTGTGATGCGCAAGAAGCGTCTCACACGTCCCTTCTGGTTTTATTTTTGGCACATTCTCGCTCACTCTGCTTCGTGTAGTGTGCGGTTCTCTAAAAGAGCGTGTTGGGGTAAGAAGTGATGTGGATGTAGATGACAGATGCAGAAAAAATGTCAAATGTAAAACTCGAAAAGAACCACAAAGGTAAAAATGTCTACTAAGTACCGGGTATAAAAGTTCTGAAGCGTAAGGAGCGTCTCACACGTCCTTTCTCGTTTCGAGTGAAACTAATACTATGATTTAAGATTCTGGCTATGTATGTATGTACAAAAATACATACATATATTTACGAATCTATGTATGTTATGATTGTAAATATGTACAAATATTCGTTCTCGAATTTCCTGAAAGAGGTTCCGGTTTGAACTTTGTTAATTAACGGAATTAAATAATTTTAAGTTGATTCGTAGAAAGACCGAAATTTGTCTACACTTCCATTAATCCAAACCCATTTTTTTACATTCCAGAACAGTGCTTAGTTTGAAGCTGGCTACTATCATGAATGATGCTGCCATGATAAACACTAATTTAATTGGATTGGTTATTAACTTTGTGTTTTTTGGCGGATTCTACTACTATGCCTCCAGTGGTAATAGGGGAATAATACGGAAACAGTTTGGATACGCTTCCTTATTTCTGTTGGTCTGCACTGCATATGCAAACTTCGAGGATCCTAAGAAGATTGAGTTCCGTCTAGGAATGCTAATCACTGGAATCTTCGTCTGGCTGGTAGGCTCACCACTGCTACATCTTCCTAAAATAATTGAAAAGAAGAGCACTGAGGGCATGCCCTTTCCTATTATATTGTCTGGTAACCTGGTGGCCACCTCCTGGATGCTATACGCTATATCCATAAAGAATACTGTGATGGTGGTAAGTTGAGAGCTGAACGGTTTTAATGAGATCAAATTATCTATTTGATGCACGACACATTTTAGCTTCAAAATTTGTTGCTTCTGGTCTTGGGTGGAATTCAGCTGTCTATGTTTGCCATTTACCCGAATAAGCCAACTGCCAAGAAGCTGGCCGCAAAGAATGAAAGTAAGAAGGAGAATTAATTGTGTGAGTGGACTAAGATGGAAAAATGCAAAACCGATTACCAATTAATATGTAGCTAGGACCAAGAAATATTCGCATTGCATATTTCTTGAATTTACACTAATTCAGCATCACAAAATCAGAAAACGTAATATCCTATTTTACATATACATATATGTATGTATGTATGACCGTCCGTCATCAGCCCTGAAGTCGGCCCTGTACATACATAGCTACCAAAAACTTGCAATTTTTGACAATAATTCAGAACTTCCAATGCATATTTATAAATAAAAATATTTAAAGTGTTACAAATTCAATAAATTCCTGGCTCTTCCATGTCTAGATTTCTACTGGCACTGTAGAGTTATAGTGGGCACCCAACTGATACATATGACGATGATAGCATAGTACCAGGGGTGCACCGCAAAATTCCTCCTGCCCTAGCAATGTAGGAGCTCCATCGGCTTGGATGACTTCAATTGGAACCTTCAGTAGTGAGGACATTGCCTTCAGTTCGATATGTCCACCCCATGCATGGTTCTCGTCGATGTCTTTGCAGTATTGCTCGAACTGCTCTTCATTTAAGAGATCTCCAGACTCGGGATGTATCATATAGCTAACGAATGTGTCCTTTTGGGCGCGCACATAGTTGGCCGTTTCCTTCCGCAGCTCTTGCACACTGTGGCCGGGCAGAGAATTTACATTTAACTGATGGAGTACAGCATGGTACAAGCAGTCTCCATCAGAGACTATGGAGTGCAGGGCCAGCTGTCGACCGGCCAACTTTGCTGTGATCTGTTGAAGTTCGACCAATTTTAGTGATGGTCCATCATTGGCTGCATTCTGGAGCTCCACGCGGATTTCCTCCTCACGTTCGCGGGCCTCTCGTGCTTTCTTGTCGCGTCGCTTTTGGGCTTTAGAGACGCGCTGCGTGCTTGGTTCCTGTGGTTTCTCTTCGTCGTCCTCGCTTTTGGCTGGTTGACATGCTGCAGTTGGCACTACTGCAAAGTGTTGATTCTTGGACAGCTCAGACACGTCTTTGCTGCTGTCTGCCTGTAGCTCGACTCTTTGACGCTGCTCCAACTCATTCTCAAGGCGTGACATCTCATCCAGGAACTCCTTGCGCTTAGTTTTGTTGTTCTTGGGCGCATTCTTCTTCATTGCCTGCAACTTGGCCTGAAGTTCTTTGCGCTCGCGGCGATGGCGAGAGGCAACATCCTCTAGATTTATCTCTTTTAACTTTGGTTCCATCTCAAATATTTCCAGCCCTCCCTTTGCCATTACCGCAACCTTCATTTATTTTTAATTTTAAATAATTTAATTTAATTTTTCATTTAATTAAGGAAACTGTTTCAGTGTGACCGAGTAATTATTTATTAAATGTAACGACAGACCCTCTGAAATATACCGAAATATACCCTCTCATTTTCAAAATATACTGTAAATATACCGCAAATCTTAAATCATTATCCTCAACTTTGATCTTCTGTTTAATATTACCAGCTAGTTAGGAATCTCAGCTTCAAAACTGCAGTTTTACTCGAATAATCATTCAATTCTCCACGCTCATGTCTTATCTTTTTTGGGTTGATTGCAAAATAAGGTTGCAACTTAAAAGGTCAACAAAAAAAACGAGAAGGGACGTGGGAGACGCTTCTTACGCGTCACAACTTTTATACCCGGCACTCAGTACTACATCTGCACCTTAGCGGTGTTTTGTCAAATTCTAAATTGTTTCTTCATCTGTCATCTACATCTACAACACTTCTCCCACCAACACGCTCCGTTAGCTCGCCGCCCTTCCCTAGACCCACATACTGCAGACTCGAGGCAGAGGCACCGTCCGCACACAAAAAAACGAGAAGGGACGTGTGAGACGCTTCTTACGCGTCACAACTTTTATACCCGGCACTCAGGACTACATCTAGATGTAGAAGACATCGCCAACCACTAGATATCGTTCACATTACAGAACACGTAGTAAAAGCCTACTAAATAAAATGTATCAATCAAATTGGATCAGTTAATATTTTCCAATTTATGAGATATTTAAAACAGCAATAAAATTGGTACATTCTTGGACCGATAGGTTTCACAGCAAATTTTTCGAAAGTGGCGCCATCTATGAAAATTTCTTCTACGCAACTTTGATGGTCCAATGGTCTGCACATTCTGTGCAATAATGACCGATAGGTTTCACAGCAAATTTTTCGAAAGTAGCGCCATCTAGCGTTAAAAACCGAGTCTTGGTTAAAAGTCGGAAGAGTCAACGATAGGGGGAGGGCAGAGGCAGGGGCCGAGTGAAGCAGAAGCAGAGTGTGAATGAGAGAATGTAAAACGAACAACAAAAGCTGCGGGACAGGGTGGGTTTAGCCACTGGAAATTAATTTCTCCATTGTGGCTATAATAATGATCCGTTTGGATCCCAATTTGGTGATCTGATAGATATGGCCATTTCCTACGGAATGGCGTTTAGTTTTCTTTTATCTTCAAAATTGTAGATTTTGGAGGTTTTCGCCCTTCTTCGGGGCGGAAGGAGGCGTGGCTCATTTTTGAAATACACTGGTTTTAGTGTGATCATATAGCAGCTTGGATGCAAAATTTTGCGGTTTTAGCTCTTATAGTCTCTGAGATCTAGCCGACAAACAGACGGACAGACAGTCATGGATCAATCGACTCGGCTATTGATGCTGATCAAGACTTTCTGATCAACTTTATGGGGTCGGAAACGTTTCCTTCTGTGCGTTAAATTCAACCGTTATTCCCCACAAATACAATATACCCTATTTACTGTTCGAGTACCGGGTATAAAAAAGCATTAAATGTTACAACACAGGTTGATTTGTTTTTGCATTAATTGGAGCCAGAGATTTCAAAAAATTTCCTCAATTCGAGGATATCCATCCCTTAAGGGTACTAAATGCTTATCTATCAGCGATTTACTGCTACGAATGTTGCTGAATTAATATAACTGATCCTTCTTCAACTCATCCTGCTGAAGGCTCCTTTAGAATCATTCCCATTATCTCGAATTTGCTGTAGTTTATGCGGATGATTTTGAGGGGAAGTCTTCACGACATTGAAAAATATTTCTATGCCATCCTCCTGATACCATAGACCTCAACCTTATTTCCATCGCATGTAACTGTTTTTTCGAAGATCTCTTGCCAACTAACACTACTCGACAAAATCTAAATGTTTTTCCTCAAGGAACCAAACCAACTTTTTCTGATAGATTCGGACATTAAAATTTGTAATGAACTAGGGTTTTTTTTCTATGACAGATCTTTTTTTGAAGAATTTTGAAGGTCTGGTAATTTCTACAAGTAATTTTTTTTTGGGAAGCGGTTTGTTTTTTCACATAACTTAAGTATCTTAGATCTGATTGTAAAGAACATTGCTCACCAGAAAAGCTGATCGATGCAGCTAAAAAGTAAACCCAAACACTTTATGGTTTTAGCGTACCGTCGGGAAATATTAAGCTTTTAAATGTAAACATTTTGATTTTTGTGAACTATTTTTAACAAAATGTAGACTTTAAAAACTTAGAAAAATTACAACAACAAAAAATTGTATCTCCTGTGTTCTTTATTTTTATACCCGGTACTTGAAGAGTAAATAGGATATATTGTTTTTGTGCACAAAGTTGATGTATGTAACGCACAGAAGAAAACGTTTCCGACCCCATAAAGTATAGTCTGTCCGTCAGTTTTGTTGAGAGCCTGGATCTCAGAGACCATAAAAGCTAGAGCCACCAAATTTTGCATTCACACTTCTGTATGCTCACACTGTTACAAGTGTATTTCCACCACCGCAAAGAGGCCAACACCTCCCAAAGCTACAATGTTGTAGATAAAAGAAAACTAAAACGCCATTCCGTAGGGTTGAACCATATCTATCAGATCACCGAACTGGGATCCGATTGGATCATTATTATAGACAGAATAAAGACATTAATTTGCAGTGGCTAAACCCACCCTGTACTGCTTTTGTTGTTTTTTCACATTCTCTCATTCACACTCTGCTTCTGCAGTGTGCGGCCTCTGACTCTGCAGTGTTTCTTCAGTGTGCGGTTCTTGAGAACTTCGTGAGAAGTGAAGTAGATATAAATGTTGATACAATATGTATAAAAAATGTAAAATGTAAAAAAGAAAATTTAAAAAAATTCGTTAAGGTACAAAAAACCATAAAAGTTTTTTCAAGTGTCAGGTATAAAATTGCATGTTTTATGTATTTCAAACAATGTATATAATTTTTGTGCGAAATTGTCACGTTGAAATATATTAGCATTTTTAGTCTTCTTTTTTTTGTTCATGGTAAATAAAAAGGATTGAAGATGAGGAACTGTTTACTCGTAGTTAGTGTTAGTTCTGAAAGGGATCAGCCAATTCTAAATGAACAAAAAGGCTTTACCTAGAAGAAAATCCAAAATCATTCATGTATACAGACTAATCTACACTGATAAAGTGACTCTTCCACACGTGACAAAAAACGAAATAGCACTAAAGATTTCAAAGCTTTTCTATTTGTAAGTTGTCTTAATTTTCATGTGATTCTTGAGACTGCCAAGCGTTTACTACATATTTAAAAATCTAATGCACAAAAATACATATGTATGTCGATACATATGTACATACATATGTAAATTGGCGAACAGTAACAACTAGTTATTTACTCCTTAACTTGCTAATAGAAAACTATAGCTAAGACGACATACATATATGTGTGTTACCTATTCGTTATCAACCAACATTATATTGCTTATCGACTTATCGCACAACCCGCTCGCTTATATAAATATACATATATGTACATATATATACATATAAATAGTGTTATTTTCCTATTAGAAATGATCAAAGGAAGCACTGGCCAGCTATTAATAAGTCCCTCAGCAAGCCCTACCTAACCCGCTTAGCACTACAAATTAGAGGGTCTTAGTAATGTTTTGGAACAAGCGACGACCCCACCAGGATTCCAGATCAAAGGGCTTGAAGTCTTGCAACGCTGGGCTAGGTGGTTCTACCCAAACAGCCGCCGATGCAGAGGTTGCAAATGGTTTATTGGCGATAATAGATTCCACTGGATTAGTTGCATTGTTATTGTTAGCATCTGCCACTGGTTTCTCGCAGGGCTTGTCCAATGTACTCGAATCATACGGATTTGGTGCCACTAGCATGTTCCAAGCTATAAGGGAAATGTTGTCATTTAAATCTATCGTATCACTTGAATGCATGCGCATTGTTTCTTATTTGTTCAACTTACAATCATTTATATAGCGTATGATTTCTTCATGCTGCGGTGTTATCACCTCATCCTCGATCAGCTTGGTGGGTGTTATCCGTTTTGAGGCACTCTGTTGAAAGAACGGTCGCGGGATACTGGTTTAAAAAGAAAATATTACATTTTAACAACAATTCCACTAATTATTACATATTTACGACGCGGCACTTCTGCAAACTATTCTACGTTTCTACATACGGTTCAAATTGATATATTTACACAGACAGATAGCTAAAACTTATACTAATGTTTTATAGCTAACATATACATATACACATAGCTACATATACATATGTATTTATGTATGTAAATGCAAGATATTTCATGTAGCCTACACTGCACTATGGGTAAAAAGCCCGAATTTTTGGCATTAATGTAATTTTTTTTTGGTAAAATATTTGAATGCGACTTAAATTGTCTGATTCCCGAATGCCAAGGTGGAATAAAACTGGTTTTAGAAGATTTTTACGGAGTACCCATACATTTTTTGAGCGCTTTCAAAGTCGGCTGATTTTTAGATGCTTTGACTTGTGAAAAAGTGCGGGAAACATTGAGCCACTTGCAGCTTATATTGTAGCTCGATTTAAGAGTTTAAATAAAAGTAAAAATATGAATGTAATAAGTCGAGATATTTCAATTAATTGCCAATACATGTTTTTTTATGGTTTTGTGTATTTTTTAATTGTCCAATGTTTTGTTCGTATATATTTTTAACTTGGTACTAAAAATTGCACGTGTGTTGTGTGGAATATTACGTTTGCACAGCACAGCACTGCACAGAGGTTCAAGTTACATGATATTAAACAATTATTATGGAATCATGTGGTGTTAATACTTTATGTCCGTTTTTGCCCCTTTTCGGAAAATTTTAAATTTTGCAGATGCCTATGAGTTTACTCATGAAGCGCTGCTGGAGATCTAGAGCAACAACAATCGCGAAGCAGACGCAATAAAATGTTGTAATTTAAGGAGTATTGACAAAAACGGACTAACTAAAGATGAAACTATTACAATTCAAACGAAAATGATCAAATTTATTGCTTAGTTAAGCAAGTACTAAACCAATCAATAATTCAATCAGTCAATTATTATATATTTTTTTAAATTTCTAAAACGTTTTAAAGGATCTTTTATCATAATTAATCTTTTCAACACATTTTGTTATAATAAATACGACGTAAATAGGTTCCTGTTCGTATGAGGGCGGGAGGTAGGCGGGGTCCAAATGACAACATTTTTTTTGTACAAAATTTAGTCTAACGACCACTCATGCCAATTTGTAGAGCTCTCACTCTATTTTTTGGATTAAAGCCAAAAAAAACGAGCGTTTTACCCACAGTGCACTTTCTGTTGCTGTGGCTCCCATTTATCTCGCTTAGGAGCTTGTGACGTAACGGGCGGAAAAGTCATTGCCTTTGGGAGTAGCCGATAACCAAAGCTTGACCCACGTGTTGCCTCCGACTGGGAGAGCTCTGCTCCGCTGTTCAATTATCATAGGACTGCTAGGTACGTTTCTTGTCTCAGGCGATAAACTGTCAAGATAAGACGAGGGTCCCTCGCTCCCTTTCCAACACATTTCCAACATGTGCGCATTGTTTGCATAAGCAGTGTTCTCTTACTTGTTGTGCTCTGATGTCCCGGGACTGTTCAGATCGAAGTTACCGTTCTTCTTGCTGCTCTCCTTGATGCTTTCGAACTTTTCAAAGTTTTGGACCATACCTGAAAGAAAACGGGGATAATAATGCATATGCCAGTATAATTTTAAAAATGCCGGCAAAACAATTTTCGAGAGAGAGAGCGAGAGAGTGCGCGCTCCCGCTCAACGTATTGTTGTGACATAACAGTTCGGCAACAATTCCGTGCCCGGCCTCTGAGTTTTTTTACTTTTCCCCATTAATGTACATTTAAATTCACTTTACTTACCTCGTCGCGTCTTAGCAACTATTTTGCTGGGTCCCTTGCTGATAGTGTACATGGTTTGGTTCGGTATTTAAATGTTTATTTTAATCCTCTCTGATTTTATTGTTGTCTGCCTGTTACCTGCCAGATGTTTTTCTTGAAGAAAATTCTTCTTTGCTATTTTCGTTAATGCACTGTTTTCTCTGTTACGTTGTGTGCTTTTTGACGTAGATTATTAGGTATTTAATAACTTATATGATCAGAGTTTCCGTTGTCCGTTGTTTGCCTCATCTTTTACGCAGTTACACAATAATCAATTGAATTCAGGGCACTTTGTTCGGTTCTCGCGATGTCAAAGCAAATCAATTTCTTTCATTTTTGGCTGTTGGCTATTATTGTTCTGATAGGTATTTAAAAGTTTCTTTCGCGATTAACTGAAACTAAAATTGTAACGCCTAACATATGATATAACAGTCGGACACATATGGTTGTTACCGTCGACAAATTATGTTATTAGTATGTTTTAGTATGCGCTAAATTAACATATATCGATATTTATTTTGTGATTATATATGTATGTATATCAGGGGCAGCTCTAATGGCATAGGCTCTAGTCTAGTGACTATTTTTCGATAAAATTTTGTATTTAAAAATGTACTATGGCCTTACTATTCAAATTTCCGTTTTGACTTAAACTTTAAAGTTTCAAATATTAAAGCCGGTGAGCCCACACGGTTTTGCGGACCAATACATAGCTTTCGGCAAATTCCTTGAATAAAGAGTAAGAATACTATAGCTACACATATGGGCGATTCCGTGGGACGCATTGCAAGCTGTAGAACGGTCAAAATAAGACGGATTTTCAAAACTATTTTATAGCTGGTGCTAAAGTCGATTCGCACCGGACAAAGACGGAAGTGGATTCGCAGCACCGACTTAAACTAGATTTCAACGAAAGTTGATGCAATATGTTAATGCGACTTTCAAATATATGTAGCCCATTAATGCCTTTATAAGGTGTTAATAATTTTACAAAATGATTGTTTGATCTTTGATACAATTAATTAAAGCCTCTGTCGCACTGTACCAAAATTCACTGGGTTTGAATAGTACACGAAAATACAGAGTCGTATATATCGTATTTTTTTATATATTTTAATATATATCTTTGTAGAAGATCTCAAGAATCGTATAGAAAATAACAGCACTACGCGACACAATTTTTCCTCAAGGAACCAAAAAAAACTTTTTCTGAAAGAGAAATCTTAGAAATTGTCTATAGATATTTTTGTTATTGTTATGAATATATATTTTTTTAATTATTAAAAAAACTGGTATTTCTGTAATCTTTCAGTTTTAGCTGTTTGTTTTTCAAATAAAGATATGTAAGTATCTGACATCTGGATGTAAAGAACTTTGCCATTCCGAAAAACTAGTTGATGCAGCTAAATTGTGGACCCAATACTTTGTGGTTTTGGCTTACAATCTGACAAGTATTAAGTTTTCAAATGCATAAATGATGATTTTTATGCGGTACTTTTAATAAAACGAATTCTTCATTTTGGTATAATAATAATCCAATCGGATCCCATTCGGTGATCTGATAGATATAGTCATTCCCTACAGAATGGCGTTTTTAGTTTTCTTTTATCTTTAAGATTTTGAATACAGCAGATTCTTTCGATTTGCGGGGGTGGAAGGGGGCTGGGCGAAAGTTTGAAATACACTTGTAACAGCATACAAAAGTCTGGATGCAAAATTGGGATGCTCTAGCTTTTATAATCTCTGAGATCCAAGCGCTCATCAAGACGAACGGACAGACGGACGGACAGACAGACATGGCTCAATCGACTCGGCTATTGATGCTGATCAAGATATATTCAACAATATTAACTTTGTGGGGTCGGAAACGTTGCCTTCTCTGCGTTACAAACATCCGTTATACCCCACAGATAAGGTGGGCGAAATAAGTGAACTTATAATTTCAAAGGAACTTAAGTTTCTTTAAATTAACTCAAATTTAAAATTTGTAAATTGTATTTAATTGCTTAAATATGACCTCCTTTGCTATTAGAAATTATGTTATGCGTCCTGGCATTCAATATATCATTCCTGGAAGTAAGCATGTATCCAAATTCGACCATTCCTTGACAATATCCTTTTTATACTCTTTTAATGTGGTGAGTGTCTTCCGTGCATTTGCACTTTGATGGAAAGTATTAACCAAAGGTCTTCAATTGGGTTAAAATCAGGAACAACGGCTGGCCACTTCAAAATCTGTATGTACATAAACACATGAATCGCGGCATTATCCGGTTGAAATGTCTATAAATCTCCATAATGCATTCCCCAAAAATTAAGAAGATCTTCGTCCAATGGTTAAACATATGTTTCCGAGCTTATTTTGTAAGTAACAAAACATATTACTCACTTTCCATAATACTTTGCTACTCCAGGCCACACTATAAGGGACCCTCCTTGGAAATTTCGAGACATTTTACATGTTTTGGAGCCTGTATATCCCTATAGTAATACTGATCCCCATCTAATGGTGGGCAAGGTTTTTCCAGTGATATTCAGGATCTTTTACCAATTTTCGGATCGTAAAATAGCTTTTGATAACGTTTCTAGCAAATAGCCCTTTTCGCGATAAGTTAAAACTTTTTCACTTTTCATTAGAAACATATCGGCTTTGAGACACTCTATCGAAAATAAACTAATTTTAAAAATAAAACAGCTCATTAGAACAATAAACTCAGTTGAAACGTTGATTTAAGCTAAAATGAATAATGTTGAATCAATTTGCAGCTCTGATACACTTTTAAGATACCATCGACTACTAATGTTAGGTCAATTATTTCGCTCTGCATTACGAGGGACGCGAGCTTTTTATACCCGGTACTCGAAGAGTAAATATTGTATTTGTGCGAATAACGGTTGTATGTAACGCAGAGAAGGAAACGTTTCCGACCCCATAAAGTATATATATTCTTGATCAGCATCAATAGCCGAGTCGATAGAGCCATGTCTGTCTGTCCGTCTGTCCGTCCGTCCGTCTTGTTTGTCGGCTAGTTCTCAGAGACTATAAGATCTAGAGCCACCAAATTTTGACTCCGAACAGCTGTATTCTCACACTGAAACCAGTGTATTTCAAAAATTAGCAGAGCAAATTAGCAGTTTTGAAGATAAAAGAAAACTAAAAAGGCCATTCCGTAGGGAATGACCATATATATCAGATCACCAAATTGGGATCCGATTGGATCATTATTATAGCCACAATGGAGAAATTAATTTCCAGTGGCTAAACCCACCCTGTCCCACAGCTTTTGTTGTTCTCTTTACATTCTCTCATTCACACTCTGCTTCTGCTTCACTCGGCCCCTGCCTCTGTCGTCACCCAGCCCATTCCTCTTCCGACTTTTAACCCACCCCGTCCCACAGCTTATATATGTTTTTATACCCGGTACTCGAAGAGTGAATAGGGTATATTGTATTTGTGGGGAATAACGGATGTATGTAACGCACAGAAGGAAGCGTTTCCGACCCCATAAAGTATATATATTCTTGATCAGCATCAATAGCCGAGTCGATAGAGCCATGTCTGTCTGTCCGTCTGTAACAAATCTACGGTTTTGAAGATACAAGAAAACTAAAAACGCCATTCCGTAGGAAATGGCCATTCCTCTTCCGACTTTTAACCCACCCCGTCCCGCAGCTTATATTTGTTTTTTTTTTGTGTGCGGTCGCTGCCTCTGCCTCTGCCTCGAGTCTGCAGCATGTGGGTCCCTAGACCCCGGAGTGTGTTGGTGTGAGAAGTGTTGTAGATGTAAATGACAGATGAAGAAAAAATTTAAATTTGTAATTTAATTTGACAAAACACCGCTGAGGTGCAGATGCACTATTGTCCCAATGACCAGTTTTGGTGGCTGTTTACGAAAAATTAGCGCAAAGGCCTTATGGCCGGGAGCAATTAGTATTTTGTATAAGTAAAATGAATTTGTAGCATTAAGATATTGAATTGTTGCATTTACGACATGCTCACAGAAGTTTGTTGCTATAGAACATACATTTAATATGTGAATACGATAGAGAAAGAGGAAGAACATGCATTTAATAGGTGAATATCGAAATTGAAAAGAAGAAGAGATTAAATTGATTTGAATTCCGACTCGGTCAAACCAGCAGCACTTGGCTTTTTATTTCGAGATTTTGATTCCGAACCGGTTGCGAGGAGGTGCGGAAACAGTGCCCAACTGCTAATTTTTAAAAGTTAAAACCAAGACTCGGTTTTTAACGCTCTGTATTAGAAAAAGAGTGACCATCAAAGTTGCGTACCAGAAATTTTCATAGATGGCGCCACTTTCGAAAAATCTGCTGTGAAACCTAGGGGTCATTATTGCACAGAATGTGCAGGGAAAAAGTACCAATTTTATTGCTGTTTTAAATATCTCATAAATTGGAAAATACGATTAACTGATCCAATTTTTTGATGCATTTTATTTAGTATGCTTTTTACTACGTGTTCTGTAATGTGAACGATATCTAGTGGTTGGCGATGTCTTCTACATCTAGATGTAGTCATGAGTGCCGGGTATAAAAGTTGTGACGCGTAAGAAGCGTCTCACACGTCCCTTCTCGTTTGTTTTGTGTTCGGGCGCTGCCTCTGTTGCGAGCCTGCAGTGTGTGGGTCTAGAGAAGGGCGGCGAGCTAACGGAGCGTGTTGGGGTGAGAAGTGTTGTAGATGTAGATGTCAGATGAAGAAAATATTTAAAATTTTACAAAACACCGCTAAGGTGCAGATGTAGTACTGAGTGCCGGGTATAAAAGTTGTGACGCGTAAAAAGCGTCTCACACGTCCCTTCTCGATTATTGTTCAAGTAATTGATTTCTGTCACAACTTCTTCATATTTGATGATTTTAATAAGAAAGCTTATTTGGCAGGGTGACTCAAGGAATTTTTCTACTTCAGTCTGTGTTATTTATTTACTTATGTATTTATTTATTATATATTTATTAGTTATTTAGTAGTTATATTTATATAACTTGTTTAATATGGTAAGAAATAACAAAAAGATTATATTTGGCGTTCACAGACATCAGATAGATTAGTGTTCAAATTCTTGGAAAAACGGGATTGGGCATGTTGGGCTGATCCTTATGAGCTCCAGTCCATATTAAGTGGTACTTCCTAGCCTTCTAGTTGGAGCACTTTACAAAATTATGTGGGCCAGCATACTTTTTCATACATTACATTTGTATTCCAGTCGAAAAACACCTGTAAAAATGATCTTTCAACAAGATATGATCAGAAACACTCAAGAAAGCTCGCCAGAAATTGGGTTTCATCTGAAAACATCGGCAGTTTTCCATGTTCAAATCAGTTCAGGATCAAGGAGTTCAAATCAGGATCTAAATGTTATCAAAATCTTATGGAAGAATGCCAAAAGCATTATAATAAATGCACTTCCAGCAACCAGAGCAAAGTGAGAGCCAGTGGTTACAAAATTATTGGCTAAAATCCTAATGAAGCTTGGGCAGGCCTTTATTGATATATTACAGGCAGGAGAGGGGAAGTAATTAAATCAAAATTATAAAAAACTTAATATTAAACCTCAACAAACATGTAGAGCATGAAAGATAAATATTAACCTGAGTTTCGGTTTTTTTTTTTTAGATTTTTCAAAAATCCACTATTATTTCATTGAACATCAGTTTTCATGGGTATTTTTGTAAAGTCATGTAAGTCAAGAATATGGAATGCATTTGTTCTGGTTCATAATGTGTATATTTCAGGCTTTCTAAAAAGGTATCACTTGTTGAATTTGGATGATTAAATATGTCTTAAAATAGCTTTGAAAGTGGTGAGTTGCGGCACTACTATTTCGTTGAACACAGCTGTACATATATATGTCCACTTTTGCGTGCGAAGCAATGGCTTGCGGCAGTACCGCGCGCGTTGGGCGCCCACTCCCGAATACGGCCGCACTCAAAATTGTACAAAATTATAAAGCAAGAAAAGACTAGATTGAAGGAATAAACAAATGAATACAACAAAAAAATAAAATATAAAAAAAAATGTCCACTTTTGATATTTTCGAATTTTACATTTTAAATTTTGTTTACATCTGTCATCTACATAATTTCTCATGCCAACACGCAGAGCCACACTTTGTATGCGGCAAAGTGTGCGAGCGGAATAGTAGGAGTAAACAAAGCTGTTGAAAGTGGTCGGGTGAAGCCACTGCAAATGGATTTCTTCATTCTGGCTATATTAAAGCTTTAATAAGCCTATCTATCTACCATCTATCCTAAGCCTATCTTAGTTCGGTGAACTGATAGACATGGACATTCTCTACGGAACAACGTTTTTAGTTTTCTCCAATTTGAGGTCGTTAGAGATTTTCGATTTTTGTGTGGGCGGTAGTGACTGTAGTTCTTATGGCCTCATCTTGGCGCTCATCTGGACGGACTATATCGATCCGGCCATTGATGCTTATCAAGAATAAAAAAACATTTTTTTTTTTTTAATTAATACTTTATGGGGTCGGAAACGTTTCCTTCTACGCGTTACATTGTACATATGTACATACACCATCGAGCAAATATTCGACATATTCTACAACCCGGGTACTCTTCGAGTACCGGGTATAAAAATACAACATATTACGGAAAACTAAGGTTTTGTATTTTTACTGTACTGTACTGCAAGACTTAAGCCCGGTATTCAGATGCCCTATATTTTCTTGCAACAGAAATTGCCATATATTTCGCTCTGTGCTCTCTGATTGCCCAAAGTGCATGTTCTCTGGGTACACTGTTCAGTGTTTCTTTACAAAATGAGATCCGTTAAAAATTCAAATTTTGTATGAAAGCAGGAGGAGTGCGTTATTTCAGAGTGGATATGGAGCTTGAAACACAACAATGCATGGATAAAGCACCGCATTATTGGATAGGTCCGATAAATCATAAACATGTGTTTTATCTCCATATAAATTTTTGAAATGAGTACCGAGTATGAGATTAATCAATTATAATAAGTTTTGAATCGTCTTCATTTAATGCTCTTTTGTTTTGCTTGTTTCCTTAATTGTTTCTTGCTTTTGTCGACAGAAGATAGAATTATTCTTTCTTTTCTTCGGTTTTTAATCGGTTGGTTTTCTGAACAACAACAGAGTTGATTTCTTATCGTTAGCATGGGAATATCCTCCCTGTTTCGGTCGCAAGAAAGTACTGAGTCGCATCTGGATCGCGTCTGAGTACTGGGCTTCAGGCAAGGATTTTATCCCGAGGATTTGAATTGGGCATTAATAAAGCCGATATGTTGATAAATAAATGTCATGGATACAAATATTTGTGATTTAAGAGGCAGTCTATCTTCCACTGGTTATGATTCCACTTGCCTATTTTAAGGGTAAGTCGAGATATGTTCATAATTGGGAGTTGTACATACCTAAGTTCTCTTGAAAATATACCGTCTGTGGATTATAAGACAGCTCCCAGCTGAATACCTAAAGAGCGTTAAAATACGATTAGGGGTTATTTTCAGCGAAAAACTGTACAATTTGGCAGGTAATGCCATAAAACGGCAGATGTAGAAATAAAGAAAGGTTTTTCCACGACGATTTTTATGACTGTATGGACATTGCACACCAATCACTGGCATATAAATTGTTGCCTTAGGCTAATGGAAATCAGTTGCATGCCAACAATTTCAAGCAACGCAATATTGCCTTTCGGAATATTAGGCCTTAAATCATGTCGAGCACCGAGACGGAGACCAGCCAAATTTTACAACGCTTTAACAGCCTAAGAATTGTAGAAGCGAGTGAGGACAGCAAAAGAGAATGCTTCTCATCATTGGTACCAGCTACTCCCAGCTGCGGGGGACAAGGAAAATTTCAAATGGAGCCCAAGAAACGACGCAAGATAAAACTAAATCGAGTCTACACCTATGAGACGGGTGCGCACTTTATCAAGGCTCGCAAGTCTTTGAACTTTTAGTCAACAAAAATACAACATAACTATTCCTGATGTAATCATTATTTTGTAAGCAGCACTGATTTCAAATCAAAAATACGTGTTCAGCACAATTACAATAAAGACTATTTTAAATATAACAAGGTTCGCGGCTTTTTCTGTCATCGATATTTCCTGTTATTGCAGTCCTGAACAACAGCTGAAACTCATTCATGTAGTGCAAAGCTGAGCAGACTTTTGATTTTTCTAAGTAGTATACAACTATAAATAAAAAAGAGCAAAAAACACAATATGACTGACATTACTGTGTCCAATGAGGGACATGTGAAGCAAAATGAGCCGGTGGCCGTGGCAGAAGACCCATATCCGCAACCATCTCCGGAATTCTTACAGCGCAAAATCTATTTTCTCGTGGATCAGCTTAGAAAAATGCACGCCGAACTGCCAGAGTAAGTTAAATAGGCTCTCAAACACTTAAATAACGTTAGATTTTGCTTACAGAAACCTGCAAACCCGAATTTCCTACGATCTTCTAACAGAACTGGCCAATTGTGTGCTGAATGACAGCATTTTCGTTATAGTCAAGGCACTAATGGAACTTCAGCATGAGACTGAGAGGCATTTGATAAAAATGCGTATGCAGGTAGAAAACGAATATGAAATTGAATTGGACGACTGGCAGGCCAAAATTAAGGATCCCGAGGAACTTCTGCACATTCTGGGCCTAATGAAACTTAAACATTCAAAAAAACTAGTCGAGTCCGATAAGAAGATTATTGAAATTCTTGATCAAAAGGCAGGTTTGCACAATACATGGTTTGCTGGTGTTCCCTTTTATTTAACTGCTTCACCTGTTTTTCCCCCAGGTTAATGACCAGCAATCCACTTTGCAGAAGGCTGGTGTGCCTGGCTTCTATGTGACAGAAAATCCTAAGGAGATCAAAATACAAATGTTCTTGCTGGATTTTATTTTACGTCTGAGTCGTATTAAGTACGAGCCAAACAAGTAGCACATTAACTATTAAAATTTAATCCTGTGTTAAGTTAGAATATATAAACATATAAATGATTAACCACGATCAAATGTCCAGATCAACGTACTAAAAACCTGTCGTGCTGCGCAGTTAATCAGTGAGGAATTGTGAGAGTGCCAAAGAGAGAAAAAGAGTGGGCGAACATGGGAGGGAGAGCATAGAGACAAATATAGAGATAGCGCCTCTTTTACTACCGGCGAGCGTAGTAAGCTGAGAGCCGGCGCTATAAAATGTGGCGACCAGCATACGGATTCATCAGTTTGTCTTGAAATTTCAAAAGAAAAAAAAAAAAATCTTGTGTGTAAAATGTCGCTTACCATCAGGACAGCTGTTTCACATCCTGAGCTTAAGGATCTGGTGAGTATTTCTTAATTGTATTTAGTTCTCGCAAGATCTGACAAGGTCAGCCGATCAGTTTGGTCATAAATAGTAGTTTAATACAGTGGAAAGCATTTGCTCTTTTTAGCTAGGTATTTCGTTTTGCTTAGTTTTGGCCAACCATTCTTAGTTGCTTACCAACACCAACCTGCTCGGCACGAAATGTTTGCGCATTTTTTTCGTAATTTTAAGGCAAGAAATATTTTACTTGCTTACATCAGTGTCTTCTAATGTTTATTTTTTATCAAACGTGAGAAATAAGCATGATAAACTTGAGTTTTCTTGAAAATTGGTTTAAACCATCGACCTTGATTTTGGTTTTGTAATGTGTGTGGATGCAATCAGCTGTTTTGTCGAAAGCACACAAAGAAAGAGAAAGTGAAAGAATGAACTGCTAGAGAAACACACTAGAAATTTAAAAAAGTGCACAAGTGTGAATTGTTGTAAAATGCGCTGGCTGCTGCGATTTGGTTACATTCTCAAATTTCTGTTCTTGGTGTGACCTACAATGCAACGAAATGTATTCAATATTACTCACTCTTCTATTCATTTGTTGTCGCCAACTTTCAGAGAACTGTTCGAAATGAACAAAAGGAACTCAGCATATCGCCTGTGCACCATGTTAACATTCCCAAAGCCACAGCTACCTTCGGGATGGGATGCTTCTGGGGAGCCGAATCGCTGTATGGAGCGACCCGGGGCGTTTTAAGGACTACTGTGGGCTATGCCGGGGGCAGCTCTGAATTGCCAACGTACCGTAAACTGTAAGATTAGAGAAATTTAACTTTGATCATTCTAACCCGAATATCTTTTTTTTATTCGCACACTTCTACGAAACTCTACACCAATCACTCTCCGACGCCTTACTAACCCTCAAATCTCAACAGCGGCGATCACACGGAGGTTTTGGAAATTGACTACGATCCCACAGTTATCAGCTTCAAGGAGCTATTGGATCTGTTCTGGAACAATCATGAGTACGGCCTGACGACTCCAATCAAGCGTCAGTACGCCTCCTTGATTCTCTACCATGATAATGAGCAAAAGAAAATGGCTGTAACCTCCAAGCTGGAGGAGCAGGAGCGTCGGGCACCCGAGGTTATTACTACTGAGGTGGTACCCAAGGTGAACTTTTATGCGGCCGAAGCGTAAGTTGAAACAAAACGTCATCTCCGTCAAGGCTAATAAACATTCTAAATTCCCAAAGCTATCATCAAAAATATAGACTGCAGGGTCACAAGGATCTAGCCACCTCTCTTAACCTCAGCCCCACGCTGTTGCAGAGCAGCTATGTGGCCACCAAACTGAATGGCTATCTGGCTGGTGTCGGGGGCATGGAGCAGTTCAAATCGGAGGTGGATACATTGGGACTCACGCCCACTCAGCGTCAGTACTGTAGCTATCACGTAGAGCAAAACGAGGGTCAGGGCCTCTACTGCTGACATGGACGTCTCTGCATAGATGTTAAGCTAATATCGTAAAATAAGGGGGTATAAAGGACACATAAAATTGACGAACCGTTTTTGCGTTTGTGTGTGAAGAATCACTGTAATACGCGTGTACGTGAGCGGCAGCGCAGTAGCAGCGCCTTGTCCTATACCCTTTAGATAAGGCCGTGCCGTTCCTGGTATAAAGTAATGACAAGATTTTATTTGTTATTTGCTACAAAAAATGCGTATTATGTACATTACGAATATCGAAACAAATATTAAATATATAAAACATATTTTATAACAAAGCTATTTCAAATACAATTTACGACTCTTTTTCTGTCAAAAGAGAGAAATAGAGAAATCTTGTGTAGCTTACGTTCTTGTATTATTTGGCTTCATCCTAGATAATTGAAAAAAAACACATCTTAAATAGATTACTGCCTAATCTGGGATGATACAATTTTGGTAGTCATATAATAATTTCCACGCAGAATGATAACAACTTTGCGGGGTCACATGGCTAGATGCCCCCATTGTGTCTACGATCTGATCAAGCGAGACGCAAATGGCTTGTTAAATCAGCTATACCTTGATTATGGTTAGATTCCATTAAAATTATATTCTCATATACATAGATACATTTGTAATCGATTTATTTTTGATGTGTATGCTTTGTACACAAATTTGGCAGGGTGTCTTCATTTATATGTTTTATATTTTCCAAACCATATTCCCGTTTAGATGAAATCTAAGTACGATTCAAGGTATATAAATCTTGAACCTTTACAGAAATGCTAAGTGAAAATTTGAAGGACCTTTGACGAGAGGCTGTAATGACTAGCAAAATATAGAATTTAAAATAAAAATTAAACCACCTAGTCATTGTCTTTCTATTTTATAGGGTTTGATTAGATACACTTAGTGAGTCAAGTTTAAAAAAAAATATAATATATGAAACGGCGGCGTTTACAAATCAAACAACTTTTATTATATCCGGGGCCTTCAACCCACACCCTATAGCTTTGACCGCTCTTTTATTAATTTATATTAAGCACATGTTTTTCCCAGTCACCCTCTTCTCTTATCTTCTCTTATTGAATGAATGGCAAGCCAGAGAGCTGCGCAACTATCAGACAACGCTCTCTTCTCTCCGTCTTCGTCTCTTCCCCTCTATCGATCGTTCATAGCGTCGAACAGGCGTGCGATAAAGCCAGCAAACAGAAAAGTATTTTGTTTACTGCAAATGCAAGATTTAATTTGTATTTTGGTAAATGATTTCTCTACAAAAGGATGTACAAAATCGCATGCAATTTGGTCTAGGCATACCCTTTAAGCTAAATTACATGATTAAACAAAAATTATTAAAATCGAAGCACCCATTGGGGGCTTGCGAACTTTTGCGCTTTAAGGGATTCTTAGCTAAGATATCAGTCTTTACTTCGAGGATAGAACAGCTTGGCCTAGGATCCATCAGCTGCGAAAATTTGGTAAAGAAATCTATAACCGTTTATCACCAGTGATTTTTACAAGATTTTGAGTTATAAGTTTCAGCCCAGAAGAGGAAGAGAAGCATTTCCCAAAGCACACGAGATCGTGAAAAGCGCGACTAGACATAATAACAAAACAAAAGCTATTACTGACGGCGAGCTTTAATTGTATTGGTCGCACGGGTTTAGTTGATAATAATTTCTCTGGTTGTGTTTTATAAGAAAAAAAACGGGCAGTGGGTAAAAAAAATTCGCTTGAACATTGCCCAAGTCAGTCCGTAAGTGCCAGTCACTGGAAGGCCACTGAGGCTTTTTCTACACACACACATATATATATTTATGTTGATATGTACATATATATGCATGTACATATGTACATTTTCATGTAATCAATATGATATGCATTAATTCTTTATACCCTGGTATGGTGAAGATATTTCTAATACCGATACTAATCTCTACACACTCTGCTTCTGCTTCACTCGGCCCCTGCCTCTGCCCTCCCCCTGCAGATTCCTCTACCGACTTTTAATCCACCCCGTCCCGCAGCTTATATTTGTTTTTTTTTTTTTTTTTGTGCGGGCACTGCCTCTGTCTCTACAGCGAGTCTGCAGTGTGTGGGTCTAAGGAAGATCGGCGAGCTAACGGAGCGTGTTGGTGGGAGAAGTGTTGTAGATGTAGATGCCCGATAAAGAAAATATTTAAAATTTGACAAAACACCGCTAAGGTGCAGATGTAGTACTGAGTGCCGGGTATAAAAGTTGTGACGCGTAAGAAGCGTCTCACACGTCCCTTCTCGTTTTTCTTAAATCCATCAATGTCGTAGATGTACAACTGCCATTACTGCCAGTCATTCATGCTTTTGATTAGGTTTATTGGCAACGAGAAGGGACGTGTGAGACGCTTCTTACGCGTCACAACTTTTATACCCGGCACTACATCTAGATGTAGAAGACATCGCCAACCACTAGATATCGTTCACATTACAGAACACGTAGTAAAAGCCTACTAAATAAAATTTATCAATCAAATTGGATCAGTTAATATTTTCCAATTTATGAGATATTTAAAACAGCAATAAAATTGGTACATTCTTGGACAGATAGGTTTCACAGCAAATTTTTCGAAAGTGGCGCCATCTATGAAAACTTCTTGTACGTAACTTTGATGGTCCAATGGTCTGCACATTCATGCAATAATGACCGATAGGTTTCACAGCAAATTTTTCGAAAGTAGCGCCATCTAGCGTTAAAAACCGAGTCTTGGTTAAAAGTCGGAAGAGTCAACGACAGGGGGAGGGCAGAGGCAGGGGCCGAGTGAAGCAGAAGCAGAGTGTGAATGAGAGAATGTAAAAAGAACATCAAAAGCTGCGGGACAGGGTGGGTTTAGCCACTGGAAATTAATTTCTCCATTGTGGCTATAATAATGATCAGTTTGGTGATCTGATAGATATGGCCATTTCCTACGGAATGGCGTTTTTTAGTTTTTTTTTATCTTCAAAACTGTAGATTTGGGAGGTTTTCGCCCTTTTGCGGACAAGACGGACAGACAGACATGGCCCTATCGACTCGGCTATTGATGTTGATTAAGAATATATATACTTTATGGGGTCGGAAACACTTCCTTCTGTGCGTTACATACAGCCGTTATTCGCACAAATACAATATACCCTATTTACTCTTTGAGTACCGGGTATAATAAGTATTGTTGATGTTGATACTCTTTTAGGTTATTCTCACATTCCGTAACCTAGTATGCAGGGTTCTCTTAGTTGTAGAGTTTAATCTAGAGTTTTTGGCCAACGAAAACGAGTTACAATTAGGGTACAATCAGAATGAGAAGGACGTGTGAGACGCTTCTTACGCGTCACAATTTTTATACCAGGCACTCAGTACTACATCCATACCTTAGCGGTGTTTTGTCAAATTTTACATATTTTCTTCATCTGTCATCTACATCTACTACACTTCTCACACCAACACGCTCCTTTAGCTCACCGCCCTTCCGTAGACACACACACTGCAGACGCTAAACCCATATCTGCAGGAAAGAAACCAGGACGGTGTAAATATGTGTACATTTATGGAAACCCATGAAACGATACCCTTTGCACATTCCGCAGTTTCAAAATATGACAAAGAATATGCCATATGTCTGGCAAAAACATCTGCAACCTTCTTTGATTGGTGGAGCACCAAGGCCGTGCCAATGAATATTTTTGCGACCGTGGCAAAGTTGTAAAACGGCGCCTCCAAGCACCCTTTATATTCAAATTTGGATAGTTTTGAGCCGAAATGGCCGTCTTCGCCTCTCCACGGCACGACGGTACTTGGTGCCAAAAGGAAAACAACTTAAAACATTTTGTTAACAGCCCACCCCGGTCTGTGTCTTAGCAACATGAAGCAACTGGCGTTCAAATAAGTTAAACAAATTAAAAATGCAAATAAATTCAATATAATTTTATTAGTCCATAAAAATTCTTTCCATGTTTTGTCGTTTGAATTCCTCAAGCTCGTCGAAAAGCACGGTGGTCATGTATCTTTCAACTTCAGCGGCATTGTTGCCTCCATTTTATTGAGACTTAACTCTCCATTGGCTAGGTACCCTCTCGGAATATAAAACAGATCTATATTTGTCGAGAGGCTAGCAACATTCCAACGAATACTGTACTGTATTACTGTACTGTGTACTGCCTGGCGTACACCCGCTTATCGGTTCCATACGAATATCATCCCTGATTTTTCTAGCGGCACCTTTTTTCCATCTGAGTAAGTACTACGCTTATTGTGCTATTATTTATATTTTAAGAAATAATAAGAAATTAATAAGAAAATTAAATAAGAATGTAAATCTAACTTATTTTACTATGCTGTCAATGTTAACCATATTAAATTATGATAGTAATTATGATAGTAATGGTCCAGGGTGACATATAACCTTTGGTGTTGTCTTCCAAATCGTTCACTCATGGACTCAGGGCCACTCTTCTATCCTGATTATCAATAACGCATCAATAACAGTTCATCCCTGGGGTTTTCGGTTTGCCGACAAACTCCTCATGTCCACAGTGCAAAAGCCACACTGCAGGCATACAATAGGCATTGTAAAAAGCTCGTATTGGTACCGTTGGTAGCACCACAACACCCTCAGTGTCCTGATCATTGCTGCGCTAAAAGTGTTTGGAAGTTGGAAGTATTTCTCCCTCGAACATGGTGCGCGCGGACATGCTGCCGATGATGGTGTTGGTGTCGGCAATGCAGTTGGGCGTCCGAACAATTTTGCGATTGTGCATGCCTCTTTGGCCTGAGAAAAGGTGCTAAAGCGGCTGTAAAGGCAAAACCTGGATCACAACCTGATGGCCGTTGCCGCCGATGGCTGCTTTACGAGCTGACGCCTCGCAGAGATATCCCGTCCTGTACGACTTCCATTATTTAAGAAACAGAATGTGGACATTGCCTTCGCGTCCATATACACAATCGGGTATAATTGGGAGAATTAGTTCCGAACCATTGACGAGGTCAATCCACCGGACAATGTAAACGCCGTTCACGTTTAGGAACTCCAGCAAATTCAGGATGTAGTGCGATGAAAGTTGGCTATGGATGAATTTCCATTCAACCTGAGGCAGCTGGAATCTTTCGGAGAATCTTTAAGTCTCAACATGCTGCAGCTATTCAGGATTATAAATAAAACATCCAGCCGTAAAACTATTCAGCTGGGTGCTGGGCATCTTGGTGAGCTTGACGGACCACAAGGACTTGCGTTAAGTTGTTGGTTCAAGATTCCTTAGCATTAGATTTGTAATTTTGTAACTAAAACTAAATTGGTGTGCGTTGGCATAACACAAAAAATCATTGCATCAAAAGAACTTTGAACAACGCCATACCGCACCGAAACGATTCTCCAGACCAACCTCAATGTACATACATATGCACATGTATGAACACATGCACATGTATGAACATATGTATGTACATATATACTGACGTTACGAATATAAAAGTAGTGACGCGTAGGAACACGACTCACAAAGTTCCTTCTTGCTCATTATTCAATGCTCAAGGAACCAAAGAGGGGCAACAGTTGGACACCAAGAATATGGACGAGTCCCATTCTGAGACGTTGGACATCGAGGCGCTGTGTCCGGCTCCATAAGTATAACTTGTCGCGGTCCCCTAGGACCGAAACAGGATGGTCGAGGAGGACTTAGGTCGACATAAAATCTTCTCATCTGATTGCAGAGCTTCCGTGTTAGTGTAATTATTATTTATAAGGGTTTTTAACTATTGTATTTGACTACATACATACAGGTATAGAAGTAATGGAGATCGTGAGTCATTGGATTCGTTAAGTATTTTTTATACCCGGTACTCGAAGAGTAAATAGGGTATATTGTATTTGTGCGAATAACGGTTGTATGTAACGCACAGAAGGAAACGTTTCCGACCCCATAAAGTATATATATATTCTTAATGAGCATCAATCGCCGAGTCGATATAGCCATGTCTGTCTGTCCGTCTCTCCGTCTTGTTGTCGGCTACTTCTCAGAGACTATAAGAGCTAGAGCCACCAAATGTTGCATCCAGATTGCTGTATGCTCACACTGAAACCAGTGTATTTAAAAAATTAGCCCCGCCCCCTTCCGCCCACGCAAGAGGTCGAAAACCTCCCAAAGCTACAATTTTGAAGATAAAAGAAAACTAAAAATTCCGTAGGGAATGACCATATCTATCAGACCACCAAATCGGGATCCAATTGGATCATTATTATGGCCACAATGAAGAAATTAATTATTAACCGACCCCGTCCTGCAGCTTATATTTGTTTTTTGCACATTCTCTGCCTCTGACACGTCTCTGCCTCTGACTCTGTAGTGTGTGGCTCTAAGGGAGGGAGGCGAGAGAAAGAAGCGTGTTGGCGTGAGTATTATTGTTGATGTAAAATTTGAAAAAAAAAAAACCGCTAAGGTACAGATGTAGTACTGAGTGCCGGGTATAAAAGTTGTGACGCGTAAAAAGCGTCTCACACGTCCCTTCTCGTTTAAATTTAGATTGGCAATTGTGCTATTTGTTTTGCTAATGCGAACGTAAGTACGTAAATATGAAGATTCTGTTTTAGAAATGTGTATTGTTAAATAACAATATTGGGTGGGGTGGTGCAAATTAATTTCTTCATTCTGGCATAATAATGACTCAATGTAATCTTTAAATTGGTAAATTGGTAAATAAACTTGGAACGAACGGAAACGTGATATCACAGCAGCCTCTATTCAAAATATTATGATTTTAGCTTTTATTGTTTGTGATTACTAGGCGCTCATCACGACAGACGGACCGACAGACATATATGTACTTACACATTGACGTTTATCAGGAGTATATGTATATCATATGTATGCATGTACTTTATAGGGGGTCTGTTCATTACACACATTGCATCGACAACAAATCTAAGTTTACTTTTCGAATACCAGGTATGCATGGTTAAAATGCATGCAAAAGTTCAGCAGACTTTTTTTAGACCCTCGTCGAGGAGACTACCTGATAATACAAAAGGATCGGCAATCGAAGAGAAAATTTTACTTATAACCAATGCAGTCTCCATATTGAATTTGTCACAACAGAAAAATAAACCAAAAACTCAGTGTCTATGAATCACATTTCCCTTTTTCTTTATCAGCAAAGCCTAAAGATAACAACCCGCTAAAAAAATCGACAAATTCTAAATTGCCATACCTACGACCATAGAACTCAGTCCGAACAATCGTAGATAAGGAAAAATCCCACTATGAGCATTAGGTGCGATTAGATTAAATAAACATTTTTCCCGGGTTCGGTTAATTTAGTTTTTTTTTTGGGAGTTATTAATGTCTATGATATAAATTCATCGCCCTAGATCAATATTCCTTATTAAAATAATCGCGTATGCTGCGCTTTACAATGGGCGTGAGTTGGGAGACCTGCTGCTGAATGTCTTTGGTATCCTTATCCTTGTGATAATATACCGTGAAGTAAACAATTAATCCAATGACGACCAGCAAGACAATAACAGAGCAGAAAATGCTCATCAGCATTTTGCAGGCGCAGGAGCAGCAGCTAAAATGGATAAGAGAGTAATTATTAAGTTGCCCCTGCTATCCACTCGATCAAAACCCAATTTAAAAATAATTGTCTTGAACTGACCCCTTCTCAATTTTGTTTTTGTTATTTAGGAAATCAAGGTTTTGTGGAATGAATGAGTAAATAATCAGTCACAGTCAGAACTTACCAGCAAACAACTTTGCCGGGGCATTTGAGACATTCGCAGAGAGCGTTGCACATGTTAAATGCAGTCGACAGGTACTATGTATTAACCTCTTTGGTTCTACAGGAATTCGATGTGTCGATGGCCAAAAGACATTAACAACTGAAATGTTTGTTACTCGCATTGCCCATAAGTCAGGTCGACCGGTATTGGGAAACTTAGCGAAAGCTTTAATCATATCGGTTCTGTACTGATAACGAGTCGGTCATATTTAACTCAAACGCAGAGGAAGATAGAGCAAAGAGCTTGCGAACTTAAGCTTTTATTTTCTATATTTTAGGATGTGTTTCCAATATAGTTCGGCTAATATACAAAGCTGAAAAGTATGTTGACGATCAACATTAACTTCAATCAAGGACTTAGACCATATCTATGTAAATCCAAAGTCATCACCTCAACCAAACAATAGGGGATACATCATGAGTTATTTTAGAAGGAAATATCTCTTGTTTTATGATCTCTGTATGTACATATAATTCAGCGCATTTGATTAGGTGTACACGGAAATTTCTAGGTAACTAAGAAAACTGACAAGGCCCTGTAAGAAGCACTCCAATGGCAGTGACACATGGTTAGTCGGAGATAACATTTTTAAACCTAAATTAAAAACAGGAAAAAACCAAACTTTTTCAGATGAGCCGTTTTCTATTATTAAATAACTAATCATCAGGAAACATCTTGTTATTTAGGAGTCCTCTTGAAAGGTTTGTTATTCGTGATGAACATTATTCGGGGATTTACCTTGGCCAAGTGTATTATTTCACTAGAATTCTACAAGTAAATTATAACGGAAATCTTAGCGGACTAGTCAGTTTTACTAATGCGTTTCACAAACATTAGGACCCGAAAAACCCACAATAACCAACATACTAAAGCGAATGAACCAAAATATTAGTCCACATTAATGCAGGTCGCTGATATTCATATTTGTGACCGACACATGAAACCAATTGCTGATCTAAGCGATTTGTATGTTCTTGAGCAAACCAAACACTTCAAGCTCAGTTGTATATAGTCTGCATTCGAAGATGGTCACACAGATAGTTCCCTTTATTTTGCTTGTTCTTGCTCAGGCAACTCCAAATGCATCGTGGCGGCTTTTGACAAAGACTGGATTCAACGAGTCAACTTACAGTGTGCGTCACCTTTCGATGCATTACTCGCGAGTATTTCTCAGTATCTCCGTAAAAGGGAACGATTCCCCAACACTTATTGAGACCCAGTGGCAGGTTTCGCACTTCCCAATGACAACTGTGATATTTCCTCACCGGAATATACATGCCAATGGAGCTCATTCCGATTGTACATTGCTGCAGCAAGCACATTGGTCACAGGTGGACGGCCTGAGTCGCCTGTGGGTTATGGATATCGGTTGGCCGGACAGCAGGTGCCGGCCCAGGCTGTTTGTTTTTGATTTGATACGCAATAATGAAGAGCTCCTGAGAATTGACTGCGGTCAGCACATTGACGTCAAAGACACCCAAAGTTTGGTTGTTAGATTCGGACCCAAGGCAAAAAGCTCCAAACTTGAACGACACATATACTTTATTCTGGGCCATGGCCCGCATATTCTGACCTACGACATACTAGAGCAGACCTGGAAAAATCGATCCTTGAAAAGTCACAAGTACGAGAGCATGCAACAGTCCTTCCCCATCAAGCCAATTGACTTTACCTTTGGTCTTCAGGGCGAATTAATAGTTGCCGATAAAGATGGTGGGATCTATAGCTCCTTGGACAGTCTGCAATGGGAAGATAACTCTGAATTAACCTCCAGTTCTTTAAAATCACACATACAAGTTACCCGCCTGGGCACTCTTTTGGGAAACGGTCGCAGCATGATCATGGACAGCTTGGGCACCTTGTACTATGTCATACCAAAGTTTGGAGCGGTTGTACGGTGTGTCCAGCTGGCTAACATCACTGCTGAGGGAAACGAAATCATCTATATGACATCGAAAAACTTACAGCAAATATTTTTTGGAAACAATGGCGCCGTGTGGGTACTAAGTGATCGGGTCTTGAAAACGCAACAAATGTGTTTTCCGGGAATGCTGTATAACGATGTATTTTAACTTTTATTTACAGTAATTTAGTATATTAACCAAAAGTACAGAAAAAAACAAAAATTTTAAATCTTTTCGACGCTGATTTTAGCGTTCATAAAATATTTCGAATGGTTTTTATTCAGTGTATTTTTTCACTTGTTTTTATTTGGTAATGTGATTCGTTTTGGTTTGATAATAATGCTATGTATATACTTTAAAAAGATCAAAAACAATCAAGTTAATGGCTAACAGTTTGCTTGTTTAAGTAACCCATTAAAGCCTGCAATCGCTTCTTTATATTCTTCTGGTCGTCCAAGGTACAACCAAGTAGGGCGCTCTCAAATTTCTTGTCGATCGGCCCGACATCAGCCTCGTACAAGGTGTCCAGTTGTCCAGACGGGTCCATGGCACTAGTGCAGCAGGCGTTCAAGTACAGCTGGCAACGTTGGCGGGCGATCACAGGATCTCCCACTTTTATCATAGTGTCGATCAAAGAATTTATTTGACTAAGCGAGTCCTCCTGAGAGTTGTCACGCACAGTGCGCACATTTAATTCAACCGTTCCTAGGCGTGAACTGACTCGATGTATGTACAGCATGACCTCCTCGCGCTCGGCTACAGTGGAACAGAGGCATTCAATTGTTTTTTTTCCGTATTGTGTTAGGAATGGGACACTCACACTCTCTCATCTTCTGAAGCATTTCGTTGCTCTTAATCAGATCCATAGACATTAAGAGATAGTCTTTCATCTCTTGTAAATTAAGAGCATCTTTGCGAAGCTTCTCTACACGTGCATCAATCTGATCCATTATGTTAACAAATCTGAAAGTTCAGGTCTTAGTCAAGGTTTGTAAGTGTACAATTATTATTTACCTCTCATTGGTATTTATAGATCTGTCCACAAGTTGATTTAATGTTTTCATCGGGATCATTGGTTTTTATATGAAAAGAAACAATGAAATGTAGAATGTGAATGACCTCTCTGCTTCGGCTCAGCTCTCCAGCTAAACATAATTATACACTAAACTAATAATGACAGCCAACACACAAGTTAAAAAACTGTGAAGGTGACTTCCTGAGGTTCTTTATCACAAAAATGTTGAAGACAACAATAAACAAGTTAAGCTGGTAGCAGTGCGAGGTAAGGAATAAAAAAAAACATTAAATATTTGTGCTGGTCGCTAAAAGTTTTGATTGATTTTATGTAGGATGGAATAACAACCTGTCCAGTGCTCTACTGTCGTCGACTAGTCCATATGAGTTGTTGCTTCCATTGTCACTGGGGCCAGAGACTGCTGTGGATGTGGAAGGCACAGTGCCTGAACGAAGACCTTGCAAATAGTCGAAATTCATTGATGACTCCGAGTGGGCAACGCTGAAGGAGTTTTGTCGATGAAGATTATTCTCGCTGGGTCGTTGCGCTGATTGCGCATCAATTTCCATCTCCTGCGGCTGATCCAGTGTGAATTTAAACTGCCTGCGTTTGTGATTTCCAAACAAGTGTTAATCGCTCTGGAACTCCCTGTGCTTTCTGCCTACTGTGGCTTCAGTTTCGGCCAATTGATGGCCTATTTTGGAATGCTTAAGCTTTTTAAGTAGGTGTCTTTGAAGTGTTTGATGCTTTTGCTTATACTTTTATATTTTGCTTATACACACACGCAAGCTGTAAGAGAGAGAGAGAGACAGAGTGCTTATTTAGTATTTAATTACCTATCGGCTGGTGTGCTGTTAAAATTTGCTTCCGGCCAGGCGACACTATAGTCATCATTGCACTCCGGCCTCCCCTCATCCTCCTCAAATGACGGAAGGATTTTAGGGTCCTCAGACGGAGGTGGCGTTTCTTCACTGCAGTGGCGACGTTTGCGAAAAATACTTCGCAAGTTGTCCAGCATAATTTTTAATCCGGTTTCCAATTATGTTTCCTTTTGTTTCTTACGTGTGCACATGAGTCAATTTTAGGCAATAACCAGCTAGGTTGGCTCGTTCGTTAAAGGGTCTCGGTTTCGCTGTTTGTATGATAGTTAAATAGATTGATTACCTGAGGCTTAGTAACAATTTGAAGGATTCGAATTCGCTTTGTGAGTACTAGACTGCTCTCAATGCTTTTGAGTGATCGGAATCGCCACATTCCATTCTTACTTTTTAATTTGAAGTTTTTTTTATAAAACAATTTAGACAATGTTATCAGCAGTGGGACCACGGAGTTATTACAAAAAAAAAATCAGCCTAAGTCTAAAAAAATACCGAAATATACCTTTACATTCTCAAAATATACCGTAGGTCCCAGTACTGAGATGCGCAACATTTTCTTTCGACATAAAATGCTATATATTTGGCTCTGTCTCTAGTATGACCAAAGTGGGCAAAGTACATGCTCTCTAGGTAAACTGTTTTATGTTTGTTTACCAAACAAAATCCGTTAAACATTTTAATTTTGTATGAAAGCAGGAGGAGTACATCTGCACCTTAGCGGTGTTTTGTCAAATTTAAAATTTTTTCTTCATTTGTCATCTACATCTAAAACACTTCTCACACCAACACGCTCCGTTAGCTCGCCGCCAAAAAAAAAAAAACAAATATAAGCTGCGGGACACACTGCAAGCACGTGGGGAAAATAACCTCTACGCCAGGTAAGTATTGGAGCAAAGCTGTAACCAAGTTACATATTACGACGTGGCGATTTCCCCCTTGAAAGGCGGGTGGCCAAATAATTCCCCTCTACCTAAGGGTAGAGCGGTAACTTAAAACCTAAAAAAAAAAAAAAAATAAGCTGCGGGACGGGGTGGATTAAAAGTCGGTAGAGGCAGGGGCAGAGGGAGGGCAGAGGCACGGCAAGTGAAGCAGAAGCAGAGTGTGAATAAGAGAATGTGAAGAGAGCAACAAAATGGACAGGGTGGGTTTAGCCACTGAAAATGAATTTCTTCATTCTGGCTATAATAATGATCCGATCGGATCCCAATTTGTTGATTCCCTACGGAATGGCGTTTTTAGTTTTCTTTTATCTTCAAAACTGTAGATTTGGGAGGTTTTCGCCCTTTTGCGGGGGCGGAAGGGGCGTGTCTCATTTTTGAAATACACTGGTTTCAGTGTGAGCATATAGCAGTCTGGATGCAACATTTTTTGGCTCTAGCTCTAATAGTCTCTGGCAACTAGGCGACAAACAAGACGGACAGACAGACATGGCTCTATCGACTCGTCTATTGATGCTGATTAAGAATATATATACTTTATGGGGTCGGAAATGTTTCCTTCTATGCGTTACATACAACAGCTATTCGCACAAAAACAATAACCCTATTTCCTCTTCGAGTACCGGGTGTAAAAAATACCTGTTGATGGGTTGCGCGAGCAACTACCAGAGTATTTCTGTAGTATTTCATATACATATACTGTGCAATTTTTTGCACATTCTTTTATTCCACACTGTGCTTCGTGCATTGTGCGGCTCTAGGGAAGGGGGCTAGATAAAAGAGCGTGTTGACGTGAGAAGTGATGTAGATTGCACATGCAGAACAAAATGTAAAATGAAAAATTCGAAACATAAAACAATGAGGGACAGATATACTGACGGAGTACGAGATATAAAAGTTGTGACGCGTACGAAGCGTCTCACACGTTGCTACTCGTTTTCAATTTCAATACATGTGATGGAATTCCAGGCAGATTAAGTGCTCTTGCTCAGTCCTATTTTAAACATTTATTCTCGAAATTTCGGCGTATTTTCTAGAAGGTCGACCCTAATTATTTTTTTTAGGCAAAACGATCCTCTGGATTATTGTTATCCGTCCTGTTTTTTTTTATTAATTTATTCCTTCAATCTAGTCTTTTCTTGCTTTATAATTTTGTACAATTTTGAGTGCGGGCCGTATTTGGGAGTGAGCGCCCAACGCACGCGGTACTACCGCAAGGCATTGCTTCGCACACTCCGTCACCTGCTTACGCCTTCTCTTCAAAACTCTCAGAGTTCGCATAACGCTAGAGGCAAACTCTGCTGCCGCTTCCCATGCCCTTGGCTCGGCCAGCATAATCGGCACCAATCGGCGCCTTCGGGTCTCGGAGCAGATGCTGGCGCCTACTACTGCCTCCAAGCGGTGATGCTCATGGTCAAACCGGTGGCATTCGAAGAGGAAGTGCTGTGCGTCTTCCACTATGCCGGTGCCGCACTCTGGGCACCAGTCCTCCAGCCACTACACTCGCCAGGAGCTCTCCCGTTGCATGCTTCGGGCCTCTGGTGTTCAGAAGTCTTCGCGAGAGCGATCCTGCGGTTCCGCTTTCCTCTGCACATACTCCAAGTGCTCCTTAAAGGAGAGGCGAGTGTCAATGAGCACCCCCTTTCCGGCTCGAAAAGAGCACCGCCTCGGTCTTCTGCGCTGCCAGGTCCAATCCGGCGACCGTAAGCCACGACTCGACGGCTCGAACGGCCGCGTTGGCGTGCTACTCTACTGCTGCTAGGTGCTTGGCCACCCCCACCTAAGGAAACGTCGTCAGCAAACCCCACCATGGCTGGCATCGGTAGTCTCAGGATTCCATCGTACATGACATTCCAGAGATGGATCCCAAAACGGAGCCCCTATCTACGTACTTTCCTTTGCAGGTATGCAGGGATGTTAAAACGCTGAAGGGCCTCTAGCGTGCGGCTCCAATCGGCCGAGTTGAAGGCGTTCCTTATGTCGAGTGTCACCTCGAGACGGACCACCGTCCTCTGCCGTTTTTAACACCTTGGAGATGGCATCTAGCGTCGACTTCCCCTTCCTGAACCCGTATTGCACCGCGGAAAGACCGCCTGGTGCACTCAGCCTCAAAAACCTTCCCTATCGTATCCAGGAGGCAGATGGGCCTGTAGGAGGAGACTTTGCCTCTTCCACCTCGCTGGAAACGTACGCTCGTGGAGGCATCTCCTCGGGGATATTGTTATTGGCCGCCCTTGTGGGAACATGGTCCTAACGATCCCCTCCAACACCACTGGGTCCGTTGGAGCTTTGGTTCCGGCGTTGATGTTCTTGACAACCACTTGACAGGCGCCTTCCCAGGGGTCTTCCTCGGCGGCGTCGCACAGCTTGAGGAAGCATTCTCTTTTGCTGTCTCTAATGGCGTTCTTCAACTCCTTTCGCACGCTTTTGTATGCCTCGCAGCAGATTAATAGTCGCGGAGTTCCCCTGGCTCGTTGAAGCTGCCTTCTCTATTCCTTCCATGTCCTCGCTCCACCAGAAGACTGGGACATGGTGCCTCCCAAACGTACTTCGCTGACGCGTCCCCCAGTTGTGTCGCCCGCTCGTTGGCTCCGTCAGACTCTGATGCCGTGTAGGTCCCTAGGGCACTTGCAAAGGCCTGTGTTCTCAGCGTGACCTGGCGATACACCTTCCTTAGCTGAGTAGGAGCTGCTCTTCCCCTCTCAGTCCTGCCAAACATGCACTCGATTGTCTCGTGATCGCTAGCGGTGTAGGTGTCTCAGATTCTCCAACTGGAGTTTCTAGCCAACGTGCTTCTGGCGTATGTGAGGTCAATAACTGAACCCATGCCTCCCCTCCTGAACGTGTGTTGTGATCCTTTGTTGAACAGCACCATGTCCAAGGTGGCGAAGGCCTCCAGCACCGTGCGTCCTCTAGCGTTGGGCCCAGGCATTGAAGTCGCCCCCGACTACGACGTCGCTTCGGCCTCGTCTGCGACCAGCTCGTCCATGATTCTGCTGAAGGCTTCCAGCGGGAGGCTGGGCGCCAGGTAGCAGCTGTAGACCCACTCGCCGCCTACTTTGCCTCGGACGAACCCATCGGCCGACATTATGTCGCAGATCTAGGGTGTCTCCATGCCGCATATCCACAGCGCGGCTTTGCCCGAGCGATCTGTGGCCCAATCGCTGCTGCTGGGAACCCTGTAGGGCTCGCTCAGGATTGCCACCTCTGATCCCCGTTCACGCAGGAGGTCCTGCGCGGCCCTGCAGTGGTTTAGGTTGAGCTGGATCAACCGCATGTCTTGTTGCGTTGTCCTACCCCGCTGAACGCTTTTGCTGCCGGCCTGGTGCCTGGTCTCCTTCTTGCCCGCTGACGAGCAAATTAAGCATGATGGCTCCTTTATGCAGTCGGCAGCTTTGTGCCCCTGCACGCCGCATTTGATGCAGCAGCCTCTCCTATATATCGCGCACCTGCAGCTGCTTGCGATGTGCCCAGGTTTCAGGCATCTGTAGCATCTCGGGAGTCCTCCTCTTTCGCGGATCCTGCAGATGGTTCAGCCGTCCGCACATGACCCCGCTGCAAGACTGTTTTTCCCAGAGAAAAGGGCAAGCTGACCACCGCCGTTTGGTACTCCGCGTAGCTGCGACGCAGACTTCGCACCCTGACTCGTCCTTCCTGGATTCGGAACTGGCACGCAATGGCGGTGCAGATCTCACGCTCTGTCGCGAGGGAGTCGAGTTCGCGGATCTCCAAGACTACCACCTTTGAGTCCTCAGTCAACGCACGTACTGCCGCTGCGTCACCAAGTACGCGTGCGATGCTCTCCTTCATGGCCTCCGCACTCTCTGAGCTGTCTTTTGCCACCTCCAGGAAAAGATGGCCGTTGATGGTGCGGCATACCCTGGAAACCCTGGTCCGACATCTGGTTGTCCTCCACTCCTGGTCACCATGGCCAGCACCTCGCCGTACGTCTTGCCTCCCACATGCACTACGACTGCATCTGGGCGACGCGGCGCTCTGACCTTCTTAGTCACTACCCTCCTCCCGATATCCGGGTTTTCGAGGTTCTCCTGTTGGCTGGGGACATTGGGTGTCGCATTCTCTTCGTGTGGCTTTATCCGGGTAGTCTTCTGTTGCTTCTTGGGTGCCGTTTGTGATGCGCTGGGCTCATAAGTGTTGGAGCCTGCTTCCCTACCGAGCCAAGCGACTCGACAGGTTGGCTTAGCCTTCGCCTCAGCTCGGTTTGCGATGCTGCCTCCCTCATCCAGACGGTCTGCTGCTCCTTGTTCGCGCACTGAGTGCTCTGTGAGCATTTCGAGCACAGGACTACGTCCACTGCGATCTCCTGGGTGTCACTACTGCCCGCTGCGGCTGCCAGGTTTGCATCCTGGATGACAGTGTGCAACTTCCAACTGATCGCCAAGGTTATATGGCGCTTATTCATCATCGGGTCGTTACCTCCTCCAAAATTTTACCCTGCTACGCTAGGTTCTTCTGGTAGTTTGCTACCTGAGATGCCTTACTTCTCCTTCTTTCGGCGTTTGCCCACGAATGGGTTTTCCGTATCCATATCTGGCAAAGTTATGCATCTCAAGGAAAATTCAGGAATTTTCAGGCGTCGTTTCCATCGAGCCTGTCCGCTCTATGGCTTCCTAATAGAACCTGGAGTCGTTCGATCGACAGCACAAGTGAATACACAAGTAGTAGATTCAGGGTTGTATTTTTATTTGGGGCGGCAAATTTAAATCTCGTACACACAAAGCTGTGCGCGACCACTGACAGCTTTTTGAGGTAATATCAAAGTAATAATAAAACGGACACTGCTGCAAAGTGGGATGTCCTTTCACACAGTAAATAAAAAACTCGCATCGCTGCATATGTGGATACAGATGTTGTCCGTAAGTGGGACAATGGATAAAGTCATTCCAAACATCTACACCAGAGTTTATGTTAGCATTTGGAGGAGTTGAATAAGTCGGAGGATCTTTATCTTGAGCACCCAAGGTACATTGAGCCCTCTCCGGTAAATCGCATTTACCAGTCAACGCATTCCAATGCAATTCAGAGCTGCACTCTTGCAGAATAGCCTGTCCATAATAGCAGATGTAATAGGTGCTACAGCTACTAGAACTGCCTATATAAACGATCAGATCGTTAGACTGCCGTTGAGTTAACGTGGCACAGTATGAAGCCGCATCCGTGATAATGTTGTTAAGATCGCTGTCACCGGCGTTCGGTGGCATTGTGTTTTCCATGCCGGTCTCTGTCCTGTTTCTGCATTTCACATTTCCCGCTGTATCGCAGAGCTTACTATCGGAATTGAAAAGCATTGTAGGTGGACAGGAGGCCAATACAGCATCACCGTTCTCTACGCACAGATAAAACAGTTGGCAGTCTTCAGAATGCTGCAAAAATTCACCAACCAGGTGATTCGTACACAAGCTACCGCCATTCTGTCTTATGGTCACCGAGTTAGTAGGTTTCCACAGCTTCCAGTTTTTCTGGGCCGAGGCAATATAACTGAGCACTAATATACTAGTTACTGCTGGAAGTGGAAAAACAGTCATTATTGTAATTTACATCACATTATTGTATCTACTTGTATTGAACTTCATCGTGTGTCAAGCTCGACTAACGCGCAGTTTTATTCTTATATTGTAATACCCGAAGAACTTGGCATATATGTGATACAAGGGACGTCTAGAGACCTCGCCCTCAATATCAGAAAATTAACATTTTCAAGTGCGTGTTGACGAAGTCGATAACGGGCCCAAACCAAACAACATATCATTGAAGACACTATTTTTTTTTTTGCAAACAAAAAATTAATTTTTTTCCTCTCTAACCAATTACGTGATGGCATTGAGATGCGTCCTACACTATTCATTTCAGAACAACAACAAAAAATGGAATGCCGAGATTAACTCTGAAAGAATTTTAGGCCTTGTCAAGTAAATACATAGCTCAAATCTGTCAATGGTTCCTTTTTTCCTACAGTTAATAAAGTTATGTATTATTATGAAATGATTTTAGCACATGTTTTGGTTAAAGGTTATCTGCAAAGAAATGTAATGAGTCGATATGATTCACAACGCAGAGTCTGCGACAATTTATTTTCAAGCCCTCTTAGCGCTCTTTGTGATGGTACAAGGAGGGACTTTCCAGTAATATCTTTTCATTATAATTTTTTGTAAATATATAAATATCCTTAAATCCAATAAATCCTATTTTCTAAAATTACTTTGATTTAAGTACATTAATGAGAATTTAATAATCACACGATAAGTATCCCCAACGCTTAGAGGCTAAAAGGACACAATAAAGCTTTATTGTTATTTAAATTTAAATTGGTTATAGCACTTTGCCTTGCTTAGAACCACGCATGATCGTTTCTCATGGTCCCAGCCATACAAGAAAGGGCACTGTTGTACAATTAAATATCCCAGTCGACATTGGTAGAAATAATTGCAATTATCTGGATGGGGATAAATATCCATTGTGTGCCGTTTGCATTGCTCCCTGGGATTACTGGTCGTCGCCTAAAATAATACAAAATCATTTTTGAGGTTTTTTTTATAGAAATAAGTCTTCTATCAAAACCCACCAGACATCGCACATTTTCGGGATGGTCGCATTTGCCAGTGCGGTGATTAAAATGCAAAGAGATCGCACAGTTCATGGGGTACGGTTCACCCTGATAACAAACATAGTAGTCCGTGCAAGACTTTTGACTTGCCATTAATATTATGCGGCTTTTATTATCCTCGCGGGGGCAAATACTGGCCACAATTATGTCAACATTGGGGGGGAATATAGTCGTGTTGCTGTCTGGTCCATCGGCGGATGGTGGTGGTGGTGTAACGTTCAGCGAAGTGGCTGCTGAAGTGGTATTAAGATTCGTGGATTCTAAAGTATCGCCCACTAAAATCGATTCAGTATTGACAATTATTAAGTTATCAGTACTAGACTCTAATAATGATGTATTATCTGTCTCCACAGCCATCCCTGTGCGACAGTCAATATCGCCCATTGGCTCACACATTTCAGTATCGGAACTAAAGTATTCGCCATCAGGGCATTCACCATCATATGAATCATTTCCGTTACAGAAAATGTAGTGCGCACAGCTCTTTTCAGAGGATATAAATCCCGATTCATTCCCATTGCACTCGACAAAATTGTCCGCCTGGCATATGCCAAAAAGAAGGACCATTACAATCAGGAAAACACAAAAGTTTGACATCTTCTCTGTATCGTTTCCAAAATTCAACTGCTCAGGCTACTGTTTAATCAAAGTTGTTTTCTTCCCGTTATTTGAGATTTATAAGAATTTAATTTGCTTGAGAGCAGGGCTGGTATCTTCTTTATTAACGACTCTGAGGAATCTTACATGAATAGCCGTATCATAAGATAAGGTTTCGTCGCAATACACCGTTCTTGTACGGCCTCGAAATGAAAATTCTGCGCGCACTGCTGCAGAAGAAGATAACCCGATATACATTGATAGTAGTAATTACTATTGGCCGGATAGGGATAGACACTGTTTCTTCCGCTCGTCTTGCAGATTACATGGACACTGGAGCTAGAAATGGTTGTTCCAGCTGCTATTGTAGCTCCTGAAGAAGGGGGATATGATGGGCTAGGAGTAGAAATCGTTGGGGTAGTAGATCTTTCTGCTAGCATGGGGTCTTGCGGTGCGACCGGTGCCGATGAATAGGAAATGTTGTTTTCTGCACTGGTTTCTTCCATTGCACCATAGCAATCAATAGGCTCCCAGCAATCACCATTGCAATAGTAGGAATCATCTCCGTTACAGTGAACGAACTCGCTGCACGCCTGATTTGGATTTGTCACCTTATTAATAATGACTCCCTGACATTCTTGCAAAAATGCCGCCGACACCTGATGGGCAGGCAGCAGGCAGCCAAAGAATATAAACAACTTCCACATAAAGGCTTTCGACTGTTTTCATCTACCAGGTTAGGGCCTCCTTTATAGGTGGGAATCTGGTTCGGTTCGCTTGTTCATTGATAAGGCTCTAAGCTAAATTTATTTGTAAGCTTAATTGATTTTCATGGACAAGAAACGGGGCTAATTAAAAATGATTTCTTTTTTCGGTACTCTACTTCAGTGAACAGTCCATGGAACCCCGCATACGTCCACCACAAGCTCCACTTGAGGCATCGAATGCATATCCCAAGGGACACTGCTCTACCAGCAGAAAGCCATCCACACAGTAGTAAAAGTAGTTACAGTTTTGGGGATAGCTGAACCTTTTGGTTACACCCTGACGACACTGCTCTCGTACATTCAACGGCGAGGCTGTGGAGGGACCCGTATTCGGCGACTGTGGCGTTGATGAATTATTAGGTGAAACCGTTGGAATACCCGAAACGATTGTCTCGTTGCAATTAAAGGCGGTATTGCAGGTGCTGTTGTCCACACAAAACATCGAATCCTGGCCCGAGCAGTTGATGTAAGCGTAGCTGCAGTTGAGCAGCGTGTTGTTTATGAATCCAAATTGGTTATTACATTCTGCAATGCTTAGGCCATTAATGCCACAGACCACGGCAATAACACCACAAGCGATCAGTCCAAATTTAAAGCGCAAAGAGGGCCCCATAGTCGATCTGTATGGATGTGGGGCTGTGTGCTTAGCTTTTTATAGTCAATACTGTTCAGTCGGTGAAAATCAAGATAATTGAAATAAGTTATATTTAATTAAACGACTCTTGTCTCGACAACGCTGTAACTTATCAATAATTATCCCCTCTTATCTCCTAGGTGTACATAACGCCATTGAACTGAAATGAGTTTTTCTGGCTGTTTGGAGTTTCCGGTCTATATTTTTTCTCGACGGGAGTTTCCAAAGCATTTCGCCACATTTATCTGCACACAACTCCTTCGTTCGATGTCCCAGCCGTAGTAGAAGGGGCACTGCTGAATGGTGAGAAATCCCTTGATGCAATAATAGAAATAGTTGCATTTGTCAGGGTGTGGAAAGAACTCTGTCATATGGGGCAGGCATTTGTGAACCCGTGGATCTTCCAGCTGAAGAATGATTCAATGTAAATGTGAACAGTTCGATCGATGTCTTTCAACGAAACCTACCGCACACTGAACGTTATCCACATGGTCGCATTGCCCGGTGAGAGCATTGAAGAACAACTTGTTGTTACAGTGCATTTCCATGGCATGTCCGTGATAGCAAAGATAATAACTTGTGCATGATTCGTTGCTGGCCATTAATATGACCTGGCTGGGATCGTCGATGATTGGGCAATTAGGCTTCACTACAGGCGCAATATTGAGGATATCCACTTCGCTTGGCTGATCCACCGTAGATGCAGGATCGCTTGGAGATTCCGTGGCTGGTGTAAACTCTTCCTCTTCTGGCTCCTGCTCTGGCTCGTCGACTTCATCCAAAAAGCATTGCACGTTGGCGGCATCATCACATCCCCCTGACTCGGCATCAAAGTATTCACCATCATCGCAGTCACCCTTTAAAGAGTCCTCGCCCATGCAATACACATAAGACTGACAGCTTTCTAAGCTCTGGACAAACGATTCGTTGGCCATTCCATCACATTCATCAAAGTGATCTCCATGGGACTTGCCGCTACACAGCAAAACTACGCAGAAGTACGATAAATATTTTGACATTTTGTGGTCTTCAGGTACGTTCTTCAACTAAGGGAGCCCAGAAGCTTCTCCATTATATTTATGCGGATAATTTCGACACATTTCCCGAAAATACCACCAGACATGCATTTCATTTTACTCTAATTGAATACCGTTTTATCAAGAGACCTTCAAGATATCTTTAGACGACTACCCGTGAGGTTCTTTGTAGTACAAAATATTCTAGCCTCCATGAATCACCTTAGAATACCCGTACCCGTGCTGCTTTTCAACTGTTTTCCATTATGAAGAGACTCTCTTCCACATTACATATGTACATAGTTCGATGGTGCCACATGGCAAAACTTAAGAATTAATAATAACTGTGTTCCCGCTCACATCCACTCTTTTACCAAGTCACACAATAGCGTCAAGATCGTTAAAAACAACGTAACAGAAAGCGTTGACCTCAGCATATGCCGCATTGTCCGTATTTTGCTTATGGATAGCCACAATCGGAAACACATAAAATCGCTAACGTGGCCCAACTAGAAGATACCCTATAAAATTAACTTTTGATTATACAGAGTCATGCATTGTACCCGCCATTTGCAGACACCCTTCTTATTTACTTTTTACCAAATATAATAAAATATCTCACGCGGCTGCTCTCTCTCATGGCATTTTAACTAGTCGATTAAGTCATGGTTATTCTTCATATCACTTGGTTTGTCTTCATGAAAAGGTACATATCTTTAATCAAGTATGTATGTATTTATGTATACATATATGTACATACTTATATATGTACATATGTTCACATCCATGGTGAAAATAAGTGAGTAAGTACATAAAAATAAGTACACTTATTGACTTCTCAAAATGAATATAAGAGTAGAGTACATAGAGTTCGATCATGTTTCTTTTTTCAGGGGTTTTTTATGATATAAATCATACAAACCTCCGATTTGCCTGAGGGTTTTTGCTCCATCAGTTATTTATACTGACTATATTGACTATATTTGCACGATCATGGCGGAGACCATCGATTAGAGTGGCTGGGACAATTTGCACAAACTCTAATTTATTGTCAAACATTTCTACCGACGATAAGATGCTGGTCAGCTTTATCGTGCACCTGTAAGAGGAAAGAATATATAAAAAATACGTTTAGAGTACAAATAAACAAAAACCAACATAAGCACAGGTATAGATAGATACAGGTAAGAAGTTCTTTATCAAAGTATTTAAACAAGTGCAAACGTAACCAATCTTCTGTTGTTGTGCTGTATTTTGTGCTGTAGACATTTCTTATAAGGGATATTTGACTTAAATTCAATCGACAGAGGAACCGAATGGATGGTGGAAAGATCGATCAAGCCAGAACAAAAGACAATGCACATTGTGGGGAAAGACGAGCTACGAGACGCTCACGGCGTGCTGATGATATGTACATACATACAAAAGTACAAACATATGTATGTGGATTCAGTTGTAAAGACAAGACAATGACGCGACGTCGAAATGTCTGCTAGTCTGTCTCATATTTACCGCCCTTACACAAATACTCATATGCTCGTATAATACATTTTTCGATCTACGAAGTGTATACTTAATTTACAATCCACATGTGCATTTACTTACAGCCGAATGTTAATATTGTTGGCCACCGTTTAAAGATATGTACCTTTTCATGAAAAAAAAACAAGTGATATGAAAAATAACGATGACTCAATCGACTACTTAAAATGCCATGAGAGAGGCTTCCCTCCCTTCCCGCGCGAGATATTTTATTATATTTGGTAAAACGTAAATAAGAAGGGTGTCCGCAAATGTCGGGTACGATACAGAGGGCGGGTTTCAAAGTGATAATGAGAAACCAGCTCAGAAATTGCATAAATAAACATATGTATATGTATATGTATTTATATTTAAAGAATTATGATTCTTTTCTATGGCAAAACTGGCAAAGGTTTTTTAGAGATAGCGCTACTTTTTCACATAAGTTAAGTAATGTAAGCTACTGTAAGCTGGTTGTTATTAACTTATCCATCCTATAAAGCTGATAAATGCATATATAATGTTTACCCAAACACTTTTGGGGGTTTAGCTTACCGTTTGAAAAATAATAAGCTTTGAAATGTAAAAATTTTGATTTTTGTGAGTCGAAAATCTGCTGTATCCCCAATTTTGAAGATAAAAGAAAACTAACGAGAAGGGACGTGTGAGACGCTTCGGTACTACATCTGTACCTAAGTGATTATACCCGGTACTCGAAGAGTAACTAGGGTATACTGTATTTGTGGGGAATAACGGTTGTATGTAACGCACAGAAGGAAACGTTTCCGACCCCATAAAGTATATATATTCTTGATCAGCATCAATAGACGAGTCGATGAGCCATGTCTGTCTGTCCGTCTGTCTATCCGTCCGTCTGTCCGCCTTGTTTGTCGGCTAGTTCTCAGAGACTATAAGAGCTAGAGCCACCAAATTTTGCATCCAGACTGCTATATGCTCGCACTGAAACCAGTGTATTTCAAAAATGAGCCACGCCCCCTTCCGCCCCCGCAAAAGGGCGAAAACCACCCAAATCTACAGTTTTGAAGATAACAGAAAACTAACAGAAAACTTTTGAAAATTAAAGAAAACTAAAAACTCCATTCCCTAGAGAATGACCATATCTATCAGATCACTAAATTGGGATCCGATTGGATCATTATTATAGCCACAATGAAGAAATTAATTTTCAGTGGCTAAACCCACCCTGTCCCGCAGCTTTTGTTGTTCTTTTACATTCTCTCATTCACACTCTGCTTCTGCTTCACTCGGCCCCTGCCGCTGCCCACCCCCTACCGATGCCTCAACCGACTTTTAAACCACCCGTCCCGCAGCTGTTATTTGTTTTTTTTTTTTGTGTGCGGACGGTGCCTTTGCCTCTGCCTCGAGTGTGCAGTGTGTGGGTCTAGGGAAGGGCGACGAGCTAACGGAGCGTGTTAGCGTGAGAAGTGTTGTAGATGTAGATGTAGGTGACAGATGAAGAAACAATTTGACAAAACACCGCTAAGGTGCAGATTTACACATTTACGTACAAAAGTTGTGACGCGTAAAAAGCCTCTCACACGTCCCTTCTCGTTTTTTTGTTAAATTTAACATTTTTTCTTCATTTGTCATCAACGTTTGCCCAAAAGATAAAGAGCAACCAGCAAAATGTGCCAACTGCAACGAAGATCATGCTGCTAGTTACAAAGGGTGTAAAGTCTATCAGGATCTTATATCAAAAAAAATAATAAGCGGACGCAACCACCAGAGAAACACCAAAGATGACAAAAATAAAAATGACCATGGTACATATCAATCATTTGCTCCGTCTAATAATTCGACCCAACAACCCAAAGATTACCAATCATACGCTCAAGTTGCTGCAGGAAATAGTAACTCGAACAAGTCTCTAGAAAGAATAGAACAGCTTCTAGAAAAACAATCTCAACTTACCAATAATTTACTTAACATGATAATGTTACTTGTAAATAAGCTATGCAAATAAATCTAAACTTAGGAATATGGAATGCCAATGGGCTTTCCAACCATGTAAATGAAATAGCTTTATTTTTAAAAACGAATGCCATTGACGTCATGCTTATTTCAGAAACACACTTCACTAGCAAATCTTTTTTTAAAGTTACTGGATACGACACAGTAAGAGCTGACCATCCATCAGATAGAGCTCATGGAGGTGCTGCAATTCTTGTCAAGCAGGGCCTTAAATTTCAAATCATGGACAGTACTAGGGAAAACGCTATGCAAGCTGCCACAATTCAGATAAAATGTATGCACGCAGATGTATCAATAACAGCGA